AAAATGGAATTGTGGGTAAAAAATAAATTTGAATATTTTTCAATAGATGGAAAATGTGGAGAACTGAAAATACTCAGAATTTAAGCATTTAACAAATTTTTACCTCACATTTCACAGTTTTCTGAAATTACAAAAAATTGTTACAAAACTGTAACAAAGTATGCTTTCAGGTATAACAACAACAAAAATAATTGAAAACGGCAAAAATTTGCAGTTTTATAGAAATCTCAATGTCTTGATTTGATGAAAAACAACCTATGATAAATATGTCCTTCAATTGTATCATTTAGCTGATCTCCTATCATTATTAGTAAAGAGATTCACACAATTTTTTTAAGTTAAAAAGAGATTCTTCTGAAAACTATTAAAAACACTGCATACAAATCTAAAATTAGACCTGCCTGTCATTTCCACTGATCAGTTTGAAATTAGGTCAGTCCGTAAGCTGAAACCCAGCAGTTTTCCTGGAAGGCCTGATAAATTGGGGATATTTATTTTGAAAAGGCCTAGTTTCCTATAAAATTATCTTTAGGTACTCCGGGTTTCCAGGATTATTTCAGACATCTCCAGTGATGGCTTTATTAAAGTTTACCACATAAAACGTGGAAATAGCAATGAAAATAAATGACTATGGGCAACTTTCATCAGCTGATAAATTTCAGACATTGAACATGGAAGGTTCAATCAATTCAAATAAACAATGAATTGTTCCAAAAAAAAAATTTGAATTCCAAATGATTTTCCTTTTTTACTTTATAAAAACGTGACACATAAAATATGAATCGGCCTTGGTTTTTTTCCGTTCCTTAATTTGAAAGATCTATCTTTCAATACCAATAAATCCAAAATGGCTTGGACACATCTACTTTAACTGCCACAGATATTATTTCAAACACAACCAATCATACAGATACAGTGTGAGTGTAGTTATACGAATCAATTAAGAGCATTTATTAGATACAAATCATTTAAAAACACTTTATGAGTATGATCGAAATTTTTAAAATATTAAAAATGTTAATCTTAAATATTATTTTGCTTATTCACAGACCACATGTAATTAGTTTTGATTAAATACCGCTAGAAAAAACAAATGACTGATTGGGATGCACTCATATTTTTTGCTTCATTTCAATTTTTAATACCACAAATTGGAGTAATTCATAAGATTTTTATTTTCCCAAAGAATATTCAGTGAAAGTAAAACAAAGACTTGAAATGTGTCTTGAAGGTAGCAGATATATCTACTTGAAGAAGAAAAATAGACACAATATTAATATACAAAACAAAATAAAAAGAAGGCAATAGAATTTTACAAAAATTAACTAAAAAAATAAAATGCCTAGAATGTTTTTCTTTTTTGAAATATTAAATAAATACTGAATTAAAATATATCTTTTGCATATTCAAAATAATTCCAAAACCTAAAAAAAAATTCAAATATATATATATGCATATAAAACAATATTAAATCTAGGTTATATGTGTTAAAATTATTTGTAAACATAAATTTCCAATCCCACAGGTGAATTGTGGCCCTTTGCTGCAAAAGTTTGTGTAGAAAGGGGAGATAATTGAATAAGGGGAATAACTGAGTAACACACATGCATCATGGAAACCATGCACATAATACACAAATAAGTAAAGAAAAAGGCAGTTAGAAATACACAGCAGGTCAAGTTAAGGAGTTATTGATATATGTATATATTAAAAGAAATGATACAATTGTTGCAGAACATATTCTCTCTCTCATACATGTACATGTATATTTCAAAATTACATATAAATGAAAATAATTAATAATACTGTGTATTAAAACAAAGTTCTCATAAAACAGATAAAAATAGATCTGAAGAATTAATTAAAAAATACATTTACAAAAAGACACATTTCTGAAAGCACCAAGTAACAAATACGGATGGAATGAATTGGTATCACAGATAACGCATAAATAACATGTAGTGAACATTCACATAAATAAATAGTAATAAATATGTAAACAATATAATGCTAGCAAGTTTGTTTCCAACACTACAAATCTAAAACTAGCGACATAATGGCACAATTCATTAGAAACTATTTTATGACTGTCAGAACTAAATAAAACTGGCAAGGAAAATGGTCCACTTCAGGTAGAAGTCTTCCGATCGATAGTCTTTGTACTAAAGTTGTAGAGGCTGGATATATAGGTATTGTGATCCATGAGACTAGTACCAATATAGGTCAATGTGATCGAGAACGACCTGAAGAAAGAGGAAAATTCCAATTTTCACACAAAATGCCAAACAAGTCACCACAAACATTATCACTTAGTAATTTATTACACGAAAAAAAATTAAAGAATTATTAAACAAATCATTACTAAAAATAGATTTTCCAAAGAAAATTTAAATAAATATTGTTATGTTTCCGTCACCAGAAAATAAAACTACAAAGTTATAAGTGCAGTGCCAGAACACATCAGTGTAGCTTGAAGTAACCTTGAACTTATAATTATAATTACTGGTGGCTTAGGCCAAATAAAGGCCAAATAAATACCTAAAAATAATAACGCTTACTACTTTTGAAACTGATATCTATTAGAAGGCTAAAATGACAAAGGATGGTCAAAAATCAAGATCTGGCAGAGTTAAGTTGGTAAAAGTTAGATATGAAATGACAATAAAATATGAATTCAAATAATATCGTCACACTCAACATCCTGTGTTTTATTGATTGATTGTTGGTTGCTTAATGTCCAGTGGCAAATATTTCATGCATATTCAGGACGATCCTGTGTTTTAAAATATTAAGTTATGTTAAATGAAAACGCCATATTCGGATATAAACAGTGACACAAGCGACAATGTTTGTTAAGGAAAAATGCTAGTAAAATACAAAATGTTAAAAAACCCATGAAATTCTGATCAAAATGATGTCAACCAATAAGTCATTGGTCTAAAAAAAAAAAAAAAAAAATTGGCAGTAGTTTTTTAAGGGTGTTTCCTGAAATTCAATATAACACCATTTTCTTTAATGGAGTTCCTTTAAATAGAAAATGAATAAAACATCAAAATTATAAAAATAAAATTTACAAATAGGCCTGAGATTAGAGCATTTGAAACACCAGAATTTTTGGTAGGAAAAAGACTTCTCTTGACTTTCAGAGTAAATATATTGAAAGAAATGAACGTTAATATGTGGAATTCAAATATAAAGCTTCCAAATTTTATGAATAAGATTTTTTCAACTTTCTACTAAAAAATGTGATATTAAATTTTAAATCCCCTTTCCTTTGGTATTGAGTGTTCTGTTTGTTCTCCGCACACTTGAAAAATGATTTAAAATAAATGCAATGGCCACCAAGGACTGGTCCAGAAAAGTTCTTCCAGAGTCTGAAGATGCAGTAAAGAGGAACATTTTTGCAAAGGGTTTATTTCTGCTAAGTTCGTGATTGGGATAAAAACACAACATTATCCCCAATCTCAGAAAACAGGTTTGCCCTTTGAAATTGTTTAAGTTTAGACTCTTAAGAATAAGATAATAGTGGAGTCAGAAAAGTGCCCAAAGAATTGTTTCAGGAACAGCCATAAAATTACTTTTTGGGGGAATGAAAAATTATGTGATGTTATCTTGACACAAAACTGAAAGTAGTGATCTGGAAAAAAGGATGGATTGATGATTTAAAATGATGACACAAAGACACAATCTGATTAGAGCTAATTTCCTAATGCTTGTAGAGTGAGACTTTGGTTGGCTTGCTTGCTTTGTTTGTATAAACATTTGCTCAAGAATTGTAATTAAGATTGACATCTGCAAACAATATAAATAGGCGCAGTTAAACCTGTATACATTATACTTAAATTTGATTGGATGTTTGGAATCCAAATATAATGTATACAGGTTTAACTCTGCCTACAATGCTTGAGAAAACATTAATAAAGACAAAGCAAGGAAGCCAACCAACCAAAGTCTTACTCTACAAACATTAGGAAATTAGCTCTAAAATAGAGATTCTATGTCCATGCTTTGCTTACAAGGATCTGACAACACTAGGTCCTACTTTCTGTTCTGATAAATTTTATATTAACCAATGAAATTTCTGCCTTCAAATTTATAAAGGTGTGTATCATTACAACACAATCCGAGGTGGATGAAACAGAAAGTAGAATGGAGCGTTTTCAGATCCTTGTAAGCAAAAGCTTGGACACAGGATCTGTATTCTAAGCTGCTTGACAAAAGACAAAAATGTCCACCATTACAAAAAAAAATCTAATGAGTAAAAAACATATAAGATAAATGATAAAAGGAAGATAAAAGTTAGAAGATTAGAATGAAAAAAAGGAAAGACAATCAACGAAGTTATGATGAATGGACAGATTATACTCTGGGAAATAGAAAAAAAATGGTGGCTTTATTTCCATGTGGTATAACACGTATACAGACCATGATAAACATGTCTTCCTTCAGAAAAATATACAGTACAATATTCACAAATAACATTAATTCACTCATGTACATAAAAAACACACACATGCTCTCATACATTCATGCACGAATAGAAAATAGGAGAAATAAAGACAGAAAAAAGTTAAATCTACAGAACTTTTGACCATCCTTGCATTTCCTTCTAATAATGGTTAGTACTAAAACAGGTCTAAAGGTAGATAAAAGCAGCTTGTGTGAGACTGGGCCAATTCACCTGTAGGTCTAAATTCTATGCTTCTATAGTCCCTCAAAATGTTAGACTATATTTAAACTACTTTTGAAAGAGATTAGTTTTTTTTATTTCTAATTACAAAATGCACTTTCTTTTTTTAAGATAAAAATTTTGATATACATTTATGAAACAAATTTTAAGCAAAAGATTTAAATAATTTTACCAATTACTACTAAAAACATTTTTCAGAATTATACATTAATCAATTCTATTGCATTTTCTTTATTTTAATTTTTTTCAAGTCATTTTAGTGTTTTATCAAACAAGACTATATATAGCATATGAAAAGAAATTATCCTACCTTGATTTGTTCTGCAGTTGATTGTAAATTGAGGTAACTCTCTTCTAAGTTTCGTAACTGTGATTGTATTTGTTGTGCCATTTTAGGAACCCGACAGTTGTCTTCTGCTAGATGACGACCTTTCTTGTTGACCATATCCAAGGTCATTCTATAATCTTCTATATCTCTAATGAGAGCCTGCAAATAATTCATTCAATATTAACGTTACAAATAAACAAAAAGAAAATTCAATTACAATGGATGTCTTATTTTAAATCTTTTGTTTTTAAGCACAATTAAAATAGCATAAAGTTTTTAAGTTCATCCATTATTTATACATATAACTGAAAGTCATACACATCAATATTCAAGGTCTTAAAAAAGTTGAAAGAACAAATTTCTGTTCATGTATATAAATGAAAACTTTAAAAGTATCAAATACCTCCCCCCCCCCCCCCCCCCTTTTTTAAATTATTTTCCTGAGTGTGAAAACTAAGACTGATCTGATATAGTTGTGAAATTCAATCTAAAGTATAAACTAACCCTGTGCTTATCCAGTTGTCTTTGTGTGATTTCCATGGAACTGACATTGAGGGAATTATGGGACATGAGCTTGAATGACGTCTGCAACAACCATTTCTCACTATCTTGTTGAGCTTCATGGAAGTCTAAATGATCATGGTAAGCTCTGTCTAATTTAGCTACTATCTCCTATAAATAAATAAAATAAAATTGAGAATGGAAATGGGGAATATGTCAAAGAGACAACCACCCGACCAAAGAGCAGACAATGCATTTTTTCAAATTTGGACAATCAAGATAGATAATGTTTTGCGTATCTTCCTAATCTGCTAGATGCATATTGGTATAATAAAAATCTCAAACTTAGAAGGTAGTCATATTTGCAATATTGAAGTGTATTATATGAGTACATTTTTAACACTGAATGTATTGGAACACAGTTTCATTGCAATAATATGTACAATACGGTGACCTGTAATTGTTAACTTCTTTGTCATTTGAACTTTGGTGGAGAGTTGTCTGGTTGGCAATCATACCACATCTTTTTATTTTCATAATATCAATTTATACTCATTGATACTTATACCCTTTATATTCAACATCAAAGAATATAACATTGTGCGACACGAAAGGTCTTTTCATACAAATTCAAATGCTTTAAAGGAGGTAGGATTTTTTTTGCCTGGTATCTAATCATCAGTATTTAGGTTTAACTTGTGTATAAAAGTGCACCCTGTGTAACACACATATAAAAACTTAAATTCTTGCATCAGAAAAAACAATATATATTCTTTAGTAACTTGAACTGACTTAAACAACCACCTGTCTAATCAGTACAAGTTCTTCATTTATGAAGGTGGCGTTTGGTTCAGATTGGGTTCATAGAATAATTTTGCTCACATTGTCCTCATTATTTTGAAATGAAACTGAATAGTTGTACTTTTACGGTTTAAGTGTAGAAGCTTTGACCAAAACATGTATTGTTGAGTTTTTAAAAGTACTGTCTTGGAAGCACATACTGTCGTGGTTTGTGTAGTGAAGTTTTTTTTTTTGAAGTTTCTTGAATCCTCTATGGCATTTAAATTGCTGCTTTTCAATTAAAAATACAATTAAAGTTTTTATTTTATAAATTAAATTATTATTTGATATTCAAAACCTACCCTGGCCCTATTTCTGACTCTATCGTACCGACTCTGTACATCAGACAATGAATCAGATACATCAGGATTTTCACTTAGAGCCTCAAGGTTTGCTACTCTCTCGGCCAGTTCATTTACCAGTCTATGGTGGTTTTCTACATCACTCAGTACAAGCTACAAAATTAAATTGGAAAATAATTTGCAATCAAAGAGATTCAACTCAAACTAAATTCATTGAAATCCTTCCCCCTCATTTTGATATTCTTTAATTTTTTTGTTTACATAATATTTTAAATAAAAGCTTGATAAAGCATATATTTTTGCGTCTTTTTTAATCGAACTGTATTTTAATATGAATGTAAAATCTTGAGTTTTTACAAACAGATACTGAAACTTCAGGTACACTAATTCGTAATTCCAGCAAACATGAATAAAATGGCACTAACAACTGATTTGAAATCATTGATTGGGAGTTAGTTGGTACAATATTTTCCAATTTTCTGTCACTTTGTTGAAATGGATATCTGGTGTAATGAGAGCAAAACAAATATTTTCAGGTTATCAATCAAATATAAGCAACACATTGAACATACTTTGTATTTGTCAAGTTGTGTTTTCTTTTCTACAAGTTGTGCTTTAGGTTCAGGCTCCATTTGTAGAGTATGCTCTGTGTCTGCCAACCATTTGACTAGACTGCCATAATACTCTTCATAATCGTTCCAACGTTCCTGAACACCTTCTAACATAGTGCTACATTCAGAAATAGCTTGGTTTAGTTTCTCCCATTCATTGGTAAGTTCAGTAACTTGCTGTTCGATAATTCTCTTTCCGTCTGAGGAAGTATTGGGAAGAATTTTTTCGGCCAAATCACAAACGTTATTTACCAATTGTAAACCTTCATCCATACTGGCGGTGATTTGCTGTAAAAGAAATAAAGGGCAACTTATCACCTAAAATACAATTTCAATAATGAATACAGGTCCAATAAATCTTTTATCTTAGCTTAACATTGAACATGAATTTCTCTCTTACATTCCTGTATTGAATTAAAGTTTCCCTCATGTAACATTACAATCCTGAACTCTATAATTGATCCATCTTTATATCATTCTTTTGTATTGTAATCAAAGTCCTCTGATGTAGCATTACAATCTTGAACTCTATAACAAACATAATTTTTTTCTTTCTTTTGATCTTGTATCGTATCCCAAGTCCTCCTATGAAGCACTACAATCATTGACTCGATACTGAACTACCTTTATATAATTCAAACAATCCTGCATAGTGTCTCTGTCTCCTGATGTGATGGAATATAACAATCCTGAACTCTATAGCTGACCTACCTTTATTCCATTCATGCGATCCTGTATGGTATCCCAGTCACCAGATGTATCATTGCAATCCTGAACTCTCTCATCCATTTCTGCCAACCAATGAGCAGCATCATCGAATGCTTTATCATATGATTTGTGGTCTTTAGCATTATCATTCAGTCTCTGCAACATACCCTGTGGTGGAAAAACAGCAACGATGCTCATTTTAAAATCTTATAATTCATCATTCAAAACTTGAGTTAAATTCCAACTTCAATCTACCATTTTCAAAACAAACTTGACACTTGTGGTTGAAATTAATTATCCATAAAGTTCAAAAGTTCAATCTTAAATTACAAACATAATATATCCATGACCCAGAATAATTTACTCTGATCTACTTCATTGTTCCAATATGTGAGAGTTTGTACCATTTCAAGATCTACATTTTATTCAATCTGTAAACTTTAATCTGCTTACAGACAGAAGTCATACAAAATTTGTTGTGCCTATTATAACCATTTACCAGCTTATGGATATAAAGCAATTTAAATGGGTTGAATGAACTGCAACTTTATTAGGTTTTATTAAATTTCATGAAGGTTCAATATAATGTCAGACAAACACACTTCATATGTAAATTAAATAAAAATATATTGAGAAATTCATCGTAAAACTGACATGCATACTTGAATAGGTTTTCAGATAGAACCATTAAAACTTAAGTTATTTACACATGAATATATCTTTTATCAAGTGCATGTTTATTACAGAGGGTTTTAACAGTACTTTTCTTCAGAGCTATTTCATTAAAATGAATGTGGGAACGTAGGTTTTTCTACAACCAACATGCTTTCTTTCTTTGAATGCATACATCAAATTGTAACAGAACTATAAATGTCAAATTAATCATGTCCAAAAAAAGTTTCCCTTCCTACCAACCAATATTCCTTTTAATAGAATAGCCCATAGAGCCAAGTGTATTTTTTTTTAAAACAAACATGAATTTTAAATAAGGGAAAAAATGCATGCTAACATCACATATTTCAAAAGAGGCTGATTGACTGAACATCATGCATATTAAGAGAATTGTGTTAAATTGTATTATAATTTTACAAAGAGCTCTGATTAAAAAATTCTAAGTGCTAAATAAAAATTGGTCAGGTGGAACACCAATTAAAGTTAATGTCAACGTTCAACTTCAGCGTTGTTTATTTTGACACCTGATACTTGTTTATATATCTTTAAGTAATTATTTTTCTGGAAATGTTAGCTTTAGATTCTTAATTTTTTTTAGGAATGGGTAATTTAACTTTTGATACAAAAAAAAATATGCTTGATGTACATACAATACATGAAAGTTAGCTTATGAAAAGGTAATTTTAATTTCCAGCAAAAAAATAAAAGAAAACAAATGTTTGCCATGCCAGGCATCATCCTCATAAAATATATTTGTTTTTTTAATAAAAAAAAATTAAGCAAATGGAATTTGTATTTTCTTTTATCATTATAATATTAACTTATAAAATCATTTATGGGTATTAAGAAAAACTTTGTGCCACATCTTGAATCAATAATTTGGCCCAATATGTTAAAGTTTATTTTGTATCATTTTTATACTCTTCAGTTACAAATTTCAACAAAAAGCAATTCAAATATGAACTTCTAACAACAATAAAAAAAAATATAGACTTATTAAACTATCGACCCTATCAAAACAACCTCCTCAGGTCCAATAAATCAAAACTTGTATACTTTCTTGTCAGATTAAATACTTTGAAATGACATTTTATCGTTTTATTGCAATAAAAGTCAAGTTTAATGTCTATATCCACAATTTAGTGCTTTATTTTACAGTACAACTTACCTTAGCTGCTGACATGAGTCCTTGATATTTTGTGGTCAACATCATCATATTATTTGAGACACGAGGGTCTATGCTGCGCTGTGAAACAGCATCACTTCTCTCTTTCACATGCTCCAAAGATAGTTTCTTCTTCAAGATTTCTTCAAATATATCCTGCAACACAAAAATATGTGTTTAGAATATTATGCAGTAATTATGTGCTTATAGCATGACTAATTACTTTCTGTTAGTTGTATTAAAATTCTAATTAGAAAAAAAATGTTAAAAGATTTTAACATGTTTCTATACACGATTATTTAGTAAATTTGTTTTTCATAATCTATTGTTGTTTCAATTGAGTTTACAATATAATAAGCAAGTCATTTACACAAATATCTTAAAATTTAACTGGAAAATTGCCAAATAAAATAATGACTTGAGAAAATGTTTTAATGATTTTTAGTATTTTAAAGATTCAGCAAATATTCATGTGAACTACAGAATGTAAACATTGGATGATCAAATATATCTATGAGGTTAACAAGATAAAGAACAGCTATAAAGAGCATTTCTTATGATATATATCTGGTGAATGAATGTTATGTTAATTTTGAGTGCTTGTGGAAGCCCCCAGTCACTAAATTTCAACTTTTCTAGAATATCCTTGCAGTAAAATATTCTAATTTAAATGCAAAAATTGTATCTGTAACTATTTAAATAATTTTTTTAGACCTCCTGGTTCTGATTTTCCTAAAGTCGTTTACACAATCTTATAAAAAATTCAGTAACATGTCTAAAGAATGACAACAAGTTCTTTCCTTAAATTTAAACGAAAATAGAAATAAGTTTTACCTCTCCCTGCATCAACTGTTTCTGTTTCTGCTGCAAGTCTGGTTTGTTTTCGTGGAGATCTTTGACGTTGTTCTCCATCTGATTCATCCATTGATGGAAACGTTCGTACTCGTCGTCCATTTCCATCCAGTTTCCAATACATCTGTCTAGATTACCCTCCATCTCGTTTACAGAGGAGGAGAATGTATTCCAGTCGTCTTTGAGGTTCTGGATCTCTTTATGGATAGCCTCCTGACCTCTGGGAGCAGTAGACATGCAGACCCTCTCCCCAAGTTGTGTAGCATTGTTAACCATGTCCTGACCTTGTCTCATCTCTCCTTTGAAATCCTGTTACATAAATTACAGAAAGCTTTGAATGTCAGATCTCACACCTTTTATCAACTTAAGACATATCATTTATGCATGAATTTTCTTTGATGCAGGATTTATAGCAATTCGCCATTCATTTTGACATACCACAAGTTTACATTTATAGCAAAATATTTCAAACATATGCTGTTGCATAAAAAGATACAGAACTTCTACATAAAATTTTAAATAGCAATGAAGCTTGTAGGTTCACTATTCACTTCCCCCTCCCCCCTCTTTTCCTTAAATTTCTCTGGATAACCAATAATAATAAAACTAAGTATAAAAAAAATAAGTGGATAGAAATTCAGTCCATTTAAAATCCAACTTTAAATACTGTAAATTCAGAAACTGTTGCTGGTTTTTTTTTATATTAATGTGACTTAGTCAGAATCACAATAATAGCATTCTGATATCTTATACAAATATATGTATGCAGATTTTTCTGATGTCGCAATAATTAATCTAGCATTTTTGTCCATTTTTCAAAAATTCCAATAATAAATGCACACAATAATTTCTGAATTTACTGGTTTTGGTTTTGACTGTTGAAACAGTGTCCTGCATAAACACTGTCTTGCAACAAGAAGCAGATTGGATCATATTTTTTAACTCTACACTTACCTTAAGCTGCTGTAGTCTTTCTTGTAATGTATTTCTATCTCCAGTGTAGTCACTCAATCGTTGTAGTCTGTGTCGGTTGTTTGCTAACCAATCTAAACAACCAATGTAAGATTTCCTGTATTCTTCATGACCTCTAACAATGTCATCTAATCTGACTGTCATGTCCTAAAAAAGATATGATAGAAATGATGGGATATACATACATGTATAATTATTTTTCATGATTTTGACAATCCATATTTTATTGTGGCTACCAAGAAGGTAAGATAAGCATATTCAAGAAGAGAATATTTTCGTGAATGCCGTGTCAGTTATGATTTCCTAATATCCACACACTTTGTTAGTCCTGAACCAAGAAAATTTAAATTCTCTTCTCTATTTTTTACTTTCAAACTATGCAAACGATTGCTCATGAAATAAATCAAAGTATTCAAACATCTTTCCAAAAAATTCATTATCACAAAAACTCTTTAAAAGTATATTTCTTACCTTTGCAGAATCATGAAGTTGTTGGTAACGACTGTTGAGTTCTCTGACAAGTGCAATGGGTCGACTGTCTTTCAAGTGAGAAGCTTTGTCTTCCAGTTTATTCAAAGCATCTCTGTGAGCCAGAATATCAGCTTGGATAGCCTAAAAATGCAATTATTTAATTATGAGCCATTTCATTACACAAATCAAAATTATGAACAAGCTCCATGAACATATTAAAAGAATTCATGATACTTAACGGAAACTTTTTTCAAATGATAAGTAATAATTGAAGATTTTTACGTTTAAAAATAATCAATATCTAATAAAATCTAAAATTATTAAATGATAAAGACTGCTGTGTACCTTGAATTTTTCCAAACTAGATCTCTTCTCAGGCAGGTCTACTCTTGCTTCAGGATCAGACCTCAGTTTGGTCTCTAGGTCCATAATCCAGCCTAGTAATTGGTCATATGACCTATCAAAGTCTCCCCATTGTGACAGAGCAGACTCCAGTCCACGCTTGGCTTGAGAAACATCTGTCAGTAGGTTTTCATATTGTGTCTTAGCTCTCTCAGTCTCCTGTTTGATTATCTGACAACCTCTTGGATTAGTGTTTGGTAAAGTCCTTTCTGAACACTCAAGTAATGTCCTCAATAAGTTATGGCCTTGGTCCATGGCTGCTTGTAGTTCCTAAACAGAACACAGGATTATGAAAAATATCAGTACTGTAATATTAATTGATTAATGCATAAATAATAGTTTTACTACTATAACTACCAATGAAGAAATCTTTTTTGGCCAAAAAATGAAAAAAAAGATGATCAAAGTAGAAAAGTAAAAAGAAAGTTTTTGTTTGGTTAAATGTTCCTAAATATATGAAAACATTTCTTAACTATATGTCCTGTTACACACTCAGTTACTTAAAAGCCAAAATATCTGATCTATGAATCAACACCATCTAACAATTATCCAAAGATATTTACCATGATTTGATTAAGTTTGCTGCCAACGTCATCTTTAGTTCCAGATGAATCATGAACACTTCCAAGTTTTTGTTTGGTATCGGTCAGCCATTCCTCAAAGTCATTGTAGGCTTGTTTGTATGCAGCATGGTTATCACAGTGTAGTTCCAGATTCTTTACGATGTCCTTTGACATAGCGACCACACCTTGATAGCGGGTGGTCAGCTGTGTGATGGCATGAGAAGTCTTAGCGTCAGCATTAGTGGCTAGTAGGGCCTGAGCTTTCTCATTTACCCTGTCCATTGTACTTTGGTGTGACAGGACTTCTTCCATATAGTTCTGTAAATAACAAATTTATGTAAAATTTAGTTCGATATGAAAAGCAATTGGGATGTATTAGAATACTTAAATTCATGATTTTAAGATTAGTTGAAAAAAAAAATCTGTGTATGGTAGAATCTAAGAAGAATGCGATCCCTTCAAATTTTCAAATGTAATACAATTATTCTGAAACTAACACATTTTCTGTTACTATAAGTCCTTAAATAGGTTGAAAAACAGTCTGTGCCTACTAGTAGTAGACTTATTTCTACAATTATGAATACAAGGAGAGGTGTGGTAAATGTCATTGAGACAGAAAGCCAATGACGCAAACCACCAAAAGACATCTAGAAATCAAAATATAGTCAAGCTTCCCTACAACTAGTCAACTCGAGTCTAGAAAAGTCGTGAATAAATTGAAGGGAAACTACCAAAGATCTATCCTAAATTCCTTAATAAATACAAAGATTTTTCATAAAATATAAAAAAGACAACCACTGACAAGAATCCTGACATGATACAGATTTATATCTAATCTTTAAATATCTGTAAAACAATTATCTATTTTGGTTGTTTGTGTTGATGTCTCATTGATCTATACACCACATCTCCTTTTATTCAGTTTAATATAATCCACAAACAATATTCGTAAAACCACATACCAGGTAATGATCCCATTGTTTCTTTTTCTCTTCCAATGTGATCTTTGGTTCAAGGTCGGCCCTTAGGAAGCCTTCTGCTTCTTTCAACCAAGCATTAAACTGGTTGTAGCTTTCCTCAAATTCATTCCATTTGGACAAGCTAGTGTCTTGGTCTTCTAGTGCTTCATTCAGCATGGTACGGTACTCATCAAAGTCACGCTTCATTGCCTGTAGTTCGTGTCTAATTTTGGTTTGTCCTGATGGTGAGGTTGTATGAAGAGTTAACTCCCCTGATTTAGTAGCTTCAGTCTGTCTGTGACTTCCTTCTCCAACATCAGCCTGGAGAGCCTGCAAAACAAAATATACAAGATTTTTTCATTTACTGTATACAAAAGTCATCTGATTAAAAAAATGCTACTATAGCAGAAATGAGAATTGTTTACTTGATGATTGATGGCAACATAAGGCAACTTGAGTGTGTATTTAGTATATGCATTTTGTAATAAATATTAAACCATAGTCAAGTTACAACATTCTGTGTAAAATAATATTTTTTGGCAAATATTGATACTTTAAATTACACTTGAAAATCAAAATTTCTTCAGAATTAGTAGATTTCCTTTAAAAAATTGTCATCCATAATTGAATATGATGAATTATTCGTAGATAGAAAACTATGAAATATTCATTTTTCTATTCCAAATTTTGGTCAACAGTAAATTTTTTAACATAAATTTATATTATCTGTGTTCAATATTAAGGTTCTGTTTGAACTAATCAAATGATTCTACTTTTCTGAAAGATTTACCTTGAGTCTATCTATCTTGCTGACAACAGCAGTCTTTTCACCAAATGTATCCTGGCAAGTGGCAAGTTTTTCTCTGGCAGCTCTCAGCCAAGATATAAAACCATTGCAAGAATCATGATAAGACTGATGTGAGGCTACACATTGTTCTGATCTGGCCAAACTATCCTGCAAATAAAATTTAAGTTTTCCTTACAGATATGATACCTTGTCTTGATTTTCTTTTATTTTCAAATTAAATCATTTTTTTTTCAAAATGGCCCCCAATGTTGTAAAGTAAACTCATGTACTAATTGTCAAATCAAAGGTAACTTCTGCTACTTTAAAATATGATTCAACAAAAATCCATTTTGAATAGTATTTAATGATTTGATGAATTAGCCAGTACTTAAATTTATGTGTAAGATTCTATCACAGTAACCAATTAAAATAATCGAAAAAAATAAATATTCTCAAATTCAATGGAATCATAATGAACAAAACGATCAGATCAACTAAACAGAAAACAATAGCTTATTATCAAGGAAATATTGACACAAATCTCCATCCAATTTTAATTACCTTGGCTTGATTCTTGAGAGTTTGGTATTTACTGACAATCTGTGTAGTGTCAGTCGATGCTTTACTGTGAGGACTCTTGGACGACAGTTCCTGAGCCTTGTTGTCTATTGATTCTATCATCTGTTCATATGATATCACATCCTGGTAAACACCCTTCAATCTCTGTAACTCCGCCTTCTTTTCACTGAGGTCGGCTTTGGGTTCTGTTTCACGGAGCCGTTTCTCCATGTCTCGGAGCCATTTTTGTATTTTATCGTAGCTATGGTTATAATCAGCCCATTGTAACAGACATGATTCCAACATAACTTTAGTGTCTGTGATTTCACTGATTAGACTTTCCCATTCCTGTTGGAGTTGTTGTAATTCCTTACGGATCATCTCACGTCCTTCCATGGATGTGTTTGTCATGGCTTTTTCACCCCAGGTATTTGCAGAATGAATCATTAACTGTCCTTCATCCTTTGCAATCACAAACTCCTTCAAAAAAAATACAAATTATGATGTCAAATTTTTTTTTCATATTTTACCTACTGTAAATTCAGAAATTATTGTGTGCATTTATTATAGTGATTTTGTCATTTTAAAATAAAATGCAATTTTAATTTTGCTATATGGGGAAAAATCCTGTTCAATTCAATAAAAAATTTCAAAATGCGAGTTTAAATTATTGCGATTATAACCCTGTCACATTTTTCGCAATAATAAAAACATCGCAATAATTTCTGAATTTACAGTATTCAAAACTCTATAGGTATCAATCAAACAGTATGTTATACTGAATGATAATGACTTACAAGTATTTTTTCTCCTAAGAAATTTTGTGATAAAAATACAGGATAATTAAAACAGAATTTCTATAAAACCACTCCAATAATTTTTATATTTTATCAGCAGACTTAAGTGTAACTATGGCATATACTGACTGTGGATAACTTTTTACAATAAACTGCTTCGCTGAGCGCAGCTGGATACGCCCGCAGAGGTCCAACCCTGAACAGTTGGGGCAAAAATGGACACAATATTCAAGCTCGATACAGGTCTGAATTTGGATTGTAATTAAATATTTGACATATTACAGGTTTCTGAATAAATGTAGTCAAAGAACTTGAAATTGTTTATATGAATTGAATTTATATTCAATTAAAGATTTCTTGCTGTTGTGCAATACACTGTGCTGTTGCGCAATACTTAGTAAATCTGTTGTCAGACTATAAACAAATAAAGTTCAATTAATTCTCAATGTCATATTAGAAATTTATGAAAATCAAAAGGGAGCTTACATCAATAGATATAAACAACTCACCAAAGTTTCATGAGAATTGCTGACAGCATTTTTGAGTTATTGTCCGAAAACTGGAAAATCCCCCCTTTTTTAATGAATAAAACCCCATAACTCAGAAATGTAAAATGTAAAATTTATAAAATTCTAAAGGGAGCTTACTTAAATAGATATAAACAATTCACCATAGTTTAATAAGAACTGCTGAAAGCATTTTTGAGTTTTTGTCAGAAAACTGGAAAATCCCCCTTTTTTATGAATAAAACCCTGTAACTCGGAAACGTAAAATCTAAAATTTATAAAAATCAAAAGGGAGCTCATGTCAATAGATATAAACAATTCATCACAATTTCTTGCAAGTTGGTGAAAGCATTCTTGAGTTATTGTCCGAAAACTGGAAAATCCCCCTTTTTTTAATGAATAAAACCCCATAACTCAGAAACGTAAAATTCAAAATTTATAAAAAACGAAAGGGAGCTCACGTCAATAGATATAAACAATTCACCAAAGTTTTATGCAAATTGGTTAAAGCGTTTATGAGTTAATGTCCGACATGTTGACGACGGACGGACAGACGGACAACGGTATACCATTATACGTCCCGTAAACAGGCATATAAAAACATTATTTTTATATCATACTTATCCTTTCAATTCATCAATTCATCAATAGTGCCTAACTATCAAGTTGACATTGATTTGTAAATGTTTCTTTTTACCTGAAGTTTTTCTAGTTGTGACTGTATAGTGTATTTATCTCCAGAAGTATCAGAGCAGACGGACAGTTTGTCTCTAGTGTTCTGTAACCAGGTAGCAGCTTCTGTGAAAGACTCAGCATACTGTTCATGGTCAAGGACATGTTGTTCATATCTCTTCAATAAGTCCTGTAAAAATATATTGTGAATAAACATACATAGGAATAGCAAGAAATAACAGTTGTATATTCATAGACAAATTTCATGAAGGACTTTGCTCCCACTTTCAAAATGTCTCCCTCATTTCTTTAGACAATGAATTTGGAATCAAAAACTTCCCGTAAATAATGATTAAACCTCTGCAAAACTTTTTTTTCAAAATCACAATTTCCTACCATAGTGGCGAAATTTTTGAAATAATGCACAAGTTCTATAAAAAAACATTACAACAAAAAAACAAATCTATTCTATTTATGAACACCAATTTTCATTGCAAAAAATCTGAAGTTTTAAAGATACATTATTTCATGGATTGAACTATTTCAACCAATTAAGATTTAGTACATCAAATACTCAAACCTTTAAATTTGTGTCTGAGTTTCAGAAAAAAGGTACTCCAAAGACATTGAATATAATTCCAAAATCTAACATACAAAATGATCACCACAAAACATAGCTCAGAAGTGTGATACTGACCTTTGAAGCTGACATAAGTGTTGTATATCTAGCAGACAGTTGAGTTAGCTGTGATGTAACTCTATTATCAGTGGTGGACTGTAACAAAGTCTGGGCTCTCTCTGCCAGAGCATCAAATGTAGTCTGTTTGTCAAGAACAGCCTCATGTGTACCCTGTAAAATTAACCAACATGCATGAAAACATTTTTTCTCTAAGGCTTATTAACACAAACTATCAAATTTGATAGACGTTTTTTAATAAAGGTCTTTCTAGATAACATATTTTTACATTTAAATATATAAGTTATAATTTCAAATCAAAGTTTTCACTCTTGACAACTGTGAACATATGAATATTTCTAAGAATTTAAAAAAAGTACCTGTTGTTTCTCAAGTTGTTCAGTTTTATCCTCAAGAGTTGCTTTGAGGTCAGATTCTTCTTTCATGTCAGTCTCTGTATCTTTTATCCATTGACTCAGTTCATCATACTGATTCTCATACAGATGCCATTCTTCCATTAGACGTTCTGAAAAACAAAAGTTTTAATAGTGAATATATAATATTCAAATATAATTTTGCAACCGATTCATTTTCCGCATGTTTTAAATAATATTTTAATAAAATATTCCAGTATGAAGGTTCATTTTTTTAATATAATATATTTTACTCTTGTACAAGCAACTGAAATAATGTATTTGAGTACATATAAGTCCCCTCTTTATGCAACACCTCCTGCAAAATTGTGACCTAATAATATAAGTGATCTCTTGTGATTGGTATGAATTAAAAAAAAATTGAAAAGCTCAAACACAGAAACGTGGGCTCTTTTCAATAAAAATCTTACGAATGAATTTGATCATAAGTTATACTGAAATGTTCATTACTTATTTTGCAAAATAAGTCGCTTGCCTTTAGAGGGTCCAACTGAAAGATGTCCTGTTTGCTAGAGATAGCTTTCGTGTTAACCAACTTTTTGAACTTACCAAGATTGTTCCTCAGATCATCTCCATCTGCTACAAATCCTTCAAACTCTGAGGTCAACATAGATAATTCCTCTTTGATGAGTTCCTGCCCTTGGTTTGAGGTCTCAGGTAGTACAATTTCTCCTTTACCTATTGTTGCGTTGAGTTTGTCTTTGCCATTGTCAATGTTTCCATTTAATTCCTAAAAATAACAAATTATACTTTAAAACTGAAAATGCTAGACAAAATCTCTTCCAACTTTTACAAACATTACAAAATGGTAAAATAACCATAATATTTAAAATTAATCAAGAAAAATTAACCTTGCTCTCATGTTGGCAGCTAAGTATGAAAATTTACTCTTACAGAAATGCTGAAGTTTTGACATCATACTGTAACATTTACTTTCCATAAAATACAGAAATATCTGTTTATTAAAATTTCACATCTTTTATACCTGTAGTTTCTGGATCTGTGCCTCTATGGCTGTCCTATCACCACGGACATCACTACAGAGATTGAGTCTGTCCACCATGGAGCTGAGCCATTCGGAACAGTCCATGAATGTATCTCTATAGATCTGATGATCCTTTACATTCTTCTCAGTCACTGCCATCAAATCCTACAAATTTAATTAATTCATTACAAACTCTCATTACCAGTCTCTTTAGCACTGTTTCTATTTTATACATCACATGGTACAATTAAAACTGTGATCAATCAGGCAACTTTTAAAAATAATTGTTCAAAATTGGAGGCCCAATGTCAATAGTTCTATTTGTGAAATATTTCATATATTCAGTGAAAACTAAAGAACTGTCATCATGCAACCAATAATATTTTTTACTTTTTAAAAGTTAAACTGTTTAAAATCAAACTCAAGATTTTTTTTGTTCCACATATTTCCTATCCATTTGTTGGGTTTTCAACATTTGTATCATAACTGGTTTGGTTTTTGTTCCATCTGACTTACCTTAACTTTGTTGAGAAGTTTTTCATATTTGGTAACCAGTTGTCTGATCTGGTTTCCTAAGTTTGTGTCTTTACTGGTTTGTTTAAGATTTTCTGCCTTGTCATTCAGGTTGTCAATAGTACTTTGTTGACTGTTGATGTTCAGCTGTAGGACCTAAAACAAACAAAAAGTCAAACACTTACTGTAATGCCAAAAAGAGGTTATATGTACGCCAATAATGAATTGCATAAATTTCTATACAATATTCATGTAAAACTACCTAATTTATTTGGGCATACAGAATTATTTTTAAAACCATTCCTAAAAACCCATTAAAAATATTGTTCAAAGATTCAAAGTTTTATGTATTTTTACCAAAGAATCTAAACTGTAGCCATTTCAAACTATAATTAAAAATTCTTTTTTAACTGTACCTTGACTCTTTCAAACTGTAACTTCTTCTCCTGCAGAGTATTCTGCAATTGTGACTCTGTTTGTAGTTGAAGTTCAAGGTCATTGAGCCAGCGATGAAGTTGTTCAATACTATCATCATACACAGTCCATTGTGCAAGAGTACCATCTAGTTTGGTTTTTAATTCATTAAGGTCACCAGAGAGAGTATCATACTCTGCCTGAAGACCTTGCATCTCACGTCTGAGATTATCTCGACCAGGGACGGAAGTATTTGGCAGGACGATCTGAAGGTTGTCAAGGGCAATCTGAAGCATGTGTAGTCCTTCATCTTTGTCAGACGTTAGTTCCTGTAATATAACAATACAGATGTATTTGTATTTCATTTCAGTAAAGCATCGACTACAGTAGAAACCATTTATCGATTAAGCGGTGAATTCTATGTTACATCAACTTTTTAAAAAATTGATGGCTGTTGAAATCAATTTTGATCAAGTCAAACATTTAAATTTGGGTAACTTTATCTTAGCAATTTTGATTTCAAAGCCATAACATTTTAAAACAGTATTTATAAAAATTCAAATATAACTGCTCACTTGCAAAAGATGTTTACTAGATATACAGCCTGTATTATGCTATACACTTGATTCTAATTCAAGAACTACAATGCTAAATCAATGAGTTTCAATGTCATGTATAATAATAAATCAATGAGTTTCAATGTCATGTATAATAATAAATCAATGAGTTTCAATGTCATGTATAATAATAAATCAATGAGTTTCAATGTCATGTATAATAATAAATCAATGAGTTTCAATGTCATGTATAATAATAAATCAATGAGTTTCAATGTCATGTATAATAATAAATCAATGAGTTTCAATGTCATGTATAATAATAAATCAATGAGTTTCAATGTCATGTATAATAATAAATCAATGAGTTTCAATGTCATGTATAATTATAAATCAATGAGTTTCAATGTCATGTATAATCAATGTCCAAATGGCACAATTATAGTACAGTACTTTGGTAGTGTATTTCCCTTCACATAAGGCCCTTCTCCCTAGAGTCCAACCTTCATGAAAGAAGAATTAAGTAGAATAATTCCCAAATTTTAAACAATGTGTTAAATAGTTTTTACCATATTTTCATTTTTGTAATACTGTGACTTTGGCAGGCATGATAACCAACTACTATGTAAAGAGAGGTACTACTTTGTAGTATGACATACCTGTACTTCAGTTAGCCTCTCCTGTACAGCCTTCCTATCACCACTGATGTCTGTATGAGCCTGTAATTTGTTTCTCATTTCCTGTAGCCATGATTTACACTGGTTGAACGATTCGTTGTAAGCCTGGTGGTCCAGAACATACTGTTCCCAACGACGACACAACTCCTTAACGTTGACGTAAACCGTCTGGTATTTTGTACTGAGCTGTGATGCTTGACTGATTACACGAGTGTCAGTACTGACACGGACTAGATCCTGGGCTGCGTCACTCAGGGCATCGATATCACCCTGATGGTCCAGTAGATCACGATGGATAGCCTTCAATTTGTCTATTTGTACCTGCTTGTCTTTGAGTGTAGCTTTAAGCTCTATTTCTCTTACTTTGGCTTCTAAGTCTTTCAGCCATGCTGAGACTTTTTCTTGCCATGCGTCAAATTCTTTCCATTGTCCCATACAGTTTTCAAGATCAGTTTTTGTCTGCAAATAAGAAACAAAACATTATAAGCAAAGTTTCACATAACCTAAGCAGATCAGCTCAGATCTAGAACATGTCTTGCACAACCATACAATACAGATTAACACTTATCAAAGTTGACTTTTAGTCTAAGTGATACAAGTATACATTTGCCAACTATACGGTATGGGGTTTTCTCATTGTTGAAGGCTATATGGTTGCCTATAATTGCTTACATCCACTTTATTTGAACTTTTGGTGGATAGCTGTCTTATTGGCAATAATACCTCATCTCCTTATTTTCATATTTTGACTTCTTTAGAAAAACTTAACTGATGTTGTCTGCTGTGAAAGTATTTATTAATAAGGCAATTATCAGTACTTTTGGATAAAAAATTGGTTGTGGACCTGAATATCAAAATTTCAATGAAAAATATAATTCATTGAATATTTTTTTGCTGGTTAAAGTGAAAGTGAATTAATTCTAAAGAATAACCTACTTCTGAAAAATATGCAGTCAAAACATGATTTGCTATGAAAACTGACCTTCTGCAGAGCATTAACAAAAGCATCCCAGTCATCTCTCAGAGCATCAGTCTCTCTGATGATAATGTCTTTACCCTGGGGAGCTGTGCTAGGTAGTACTCTCTCTGCAAGGCTTATACAATTCTTGACCTTGGGTTCTCCTTCCATCTTAGTGGCAACAATGTCCTATAAAAACATGACAAAAACATAATAAAAAATTTCATCGTGAATCAAAAACAATATCATGCTATTCAGTCAAGGACTTGCTTTTTTTAGGGAACAAAAATCTTACACATACAATCTGAGAAATTCTGTTAGCTTTGTTTTACAAAAGTTGCAACTGTTTCAGTCATGCAAGGGAAAGCGGGAAAAAACAAGCATATTATATTTCTTTTCAAAACAACATCTGGACTTTAAATATTTTTATGCTAAAACAAAAGTCGCAACTGAAAATCATTCAAATAGCATCAATCAAGGAATTACATTAGCCATTATGATCTTAATGAATAATTACAGTAAGACATGCAAATTTCCATGCAATAACATGCAATCAAAGGAGTTTATTGACTAGCAACTAATAGTGAAAACGTTCCTTTTGATTTAATTCTAATTTTATTACATATTTTTAAAGTTCTAAATTGTGGAAATCAACATCAACTCAATGGAACTATTAATACCACTTAGAATGGTCATTTAGGTCTAGCATCTATAATTTTACTTTTACGTTCTTCTAACAGTCTTTTATGGGATTGATTCTGCTATAAAAATTGAACCAACTAACACCCACTCGACTATTCTAGCACTACAACAAATCTAAACAAAAAAACCTAGGTTTTCCACTTTGCATTTACACTATGAAATTACAAAACACAACCAATTATGAAATAATATTACATGTTGCAAAGTGAAAATAAAAAAAAATCTACTGTAGTTGTCTTCTAGAGCCATTCTAAATTCAGTTTTTACTGCATCAACTGTTTCTGATAATCTAAAAATAGCAACACACTGCTACTACTTACAGAGGTGATTTTGTCAATATCTTGATTCTAAGGTGAAAAATGTGCAAATAAAAAAATACTGTATAAGGTACCCCTTAATGTTGGATCATGACTGTTTATTTTTCAAAAATTAGAAATAAGGGAAGCTCAAATCTGTACAGATAAGCTAAACCAGATGACGCATATCTGCAGTTTTGTCATCAGACTAATTACCAGCTACAGTATTCATACAAAAATCATGCAAAAACTGGCACATGCAAACTAATAAAGATAAGAAAAATATTATGTGATCAGGGATAACTTGTTTTTAAACCCTTATGAAAAATCCAGCAAAATATTTCCTTTTTAAGGAAGAACTGTATAACCTTTGAAAAAGAATAAGTAACTCTTAAATGCAGAAATAGTCATACAGAGTGGTCTCCCAAAACTATGCCTTCCAAACTTTTGACATAAAAAAGCAAGCCAGCACTTTCAATTTGTTTTAAAACAAGAATGTGTCCATAGTACACGAATGACCCACTCGCACTATCATTTTCTATGTTCAGTGGACTGTGAAATTGGGGTCAAAACTCTAATTTGGCATCATATCATAGGGAACATACTTCAAGTTGATTGGACTTAACTTAATCAAAAACTACCTTGACCAAAAACTTTAACCTGAAGCGGGAAAGACGGACGGACGGATGGACTTACGAACGAACAAACATACCCACAGACAGAAAAACATAATGCCCATAAATGGGCCATAAAAATAAGGTCATCTATTCATTGTGTCTTCCTAGATACAAACAATTATATATGAAATGTGTGCATGACATACATCAGTAACCAATTTATTCTACTTGCAGATATAAAATGTGAGTTTCCAAAACCTTATGTTTAAACCAATCCCTATAAAGTCTGTTTTCACACTGGTGGATATAAAACCCTACCGATAATTGATAGTATAAAGTATCCAGCTATAGAGAAATAAAAATAAATCTTTGAAACACACGAAACCAAGAACATGAGGAACACACAAGGAAATGTTTCACACAAGGGAATAAACTTTTCCACACAGAAAATAATACTTTTTGGAAAACAAGGAGTTGGTATTTTACCAATGATATTTGGAAATTATTTTTTTTCTATTTTCCTAAAATACAATATAGGAAAGTTAGAAAGCTCTAAGGATATCACTACAAAGACTGGAAAATCAATAGAAAAGACTAAAGTGAAACACTTACACAACGTCGCTGTTATCAGAACAGAACATAGAAAAACCAGTGTTAGATTTTCAGACTATATATATATTTTTTTTAAACAAACAGTTAAAAGTCATCATGCAAAAAATTTCTCACTTCTTAGTAAATATATTTAGGTGACTCACATACATACATACATACAATAGATCTTTTTAGGATAATACAGATATGCCGAGAATATTTTGAATGGCAAAATACTGAATTTTCCCGCCAAAATATGTCTATTTCTGAGGGAAAATATTGCATTTTACCACTCACGATAGCCTCTCGGCAAGTTTACATATTATCATAAAAGTTTCATTAAAAGTTAACATTGTCGAGATGTTATCAGCCACAGTGAATTCAAATTATTTTTATTATAATATTTCATAAATATATATTGGTTTTATGTGCTAGTACAAACCCACTCTGCACCCCAAAATATGATGCTTACACTTTTAATAAGTCCTGTGTAGTAAGTCTGTAAGCAAACATTTAATTATAACACAAGCAATATATTTGGGACGTGCTCACAAAAGCAAGGTGACATGTACATGAATTTCAATTCCATATAAAATCGTAAAGCAATATATTAGGACATTTTAGTGATAATAATTTTGAAATTAATAAAACAATTCAATAAAAATTTTTCCTAAAATAAAGAGTTCAAAAAAACGAAAAGATTTCTTTTAAAAATTTAATTTCGTGTGAAAATAAACAGGTTCCTAGTTCCTATGATAGTTTATCTATACAACAATTATGATTCATATGTTAATGGAAATTAAAATTCTTTCTAGAAAATATAATTTTGGGGGTTATATAAACATGTAAAAAATAAAAATATTGAAAATGTGAGACTCTCATAAATAGTAAATCCCTTATTTAGGAGAAAAGAGTCTTTGAATATATAAATTCTAAAAGATAAGAAAGAAAAATTAATGAGGAAAATTTCCTTAAATAAAAGATAGACCTATAGATATTAAGTTTTCTAAATGAATATATACAATGTAGAATAAAGCCACATGAATTTTTCATTCTTGGGGATTTTCCTGCATGAGTTTTAGATACAATAAATTTTGTAAACCATACTCAATCCAGTCACCAAAATGCCTGAATTCCCCTTTTTCCATTATCTTGAATTTGAAAACCAGCCAATCTTTGTAAATAAATAAATATTCATATTTCACTAAATAAGAAAAATCAAACAAAAAGCAATCTCTATAAGCACCTTAACTTTTCCTCCAGTAAACAAGAATCAAATTGATGTGGCCTAACTGCAATGTAATAATAGTCTCTAAATAAAACATGGCAATAGCTACCTGTATTTTGTCCAATCTGTTTTGGATAGTATGGCGATCACCAGATACGTCAGAACACATGGATAGCTTCTCACGAATACCATTCAACCATTCTATACAGTTGTTGTAAGCGTCGTTGTACTGTTGATGGTCAGCGACAAATACTTCATATTGTTGTACACGCTCCTACGAATTTGAATAAATGAGGTCAGAAACATGTGATTTTCCAAATTAAAATTCCTTTATCAAAAAGAGTCATTTCACCCTTCAGATGTTTTCTAATAATCAAAGAGCTATTAATAAACTCACAGCTATCTAAAACCCAAATTTTCCCAACCAGAAAATAGGAAATTTTCATCAAATATTGCCTAGAAATGTTGTTTCGTTGACTGATTTTTTTTCAGCAGCTTTTTTTTATAAACAGCACTTGCTACAAACATAAAAGACTTAAATCAGATGCAAGCAAATGCATCTATGGAAATGTTATTATAATTGTTAAATACAACAATATTTCATAATTTTCTCTGTTATGAATCCTTACAACAACCTATTCATGCAAATATGCAAATACAGATTCCAAGATCAAATAAAGTTGTCTACTTCCTATCCTGCTACTTCAGTCTACTTAACAAAAAAGCAGCATTTTTATCAAATTTCGATAGCTAAAGAATGCTGACAAAATTTCTACAAATTTACTCACTTCTATCAACTTTGGAAAATCTTTCATCTAATAAAATAGTTAACAATTCTAAAGACTCAATTTGATACTTTCATAATCTTTTTCATTTTGACCCATATATTTATCTAAATATTTTTAGAATGTATTTTTTTAGAACTCCCACCAACCCTGCCATGTTGTTTAGCAAAACATGTCATAGAGAAAACTTATCAATAATTGAATTTATGCAACACTTGAACCAATATGACCAAAATATGAATTAACTCTTAAGTTATATATTGAACAAGTTCTTATTATGAATTTTTGTTTACTTTAAGTGTAAAAAGATCTATCAGTATATAATGCATCAAAAACATATTATCTAAAAACTAACCTTTGCAGATGTACAGAGTTTCTGGTATCTTGTTCTCGCCTGAGAAACAAACTTTGTAAGATGAGGGTCGCTGCTACTCTGTACGAGTGATTGAGCCTTGTCATTAACACTTTCAATAACTCTCTGATAGGATAACACGTCTTGATGCAAAACCTATAACCCACAACAAATGTAAAACTAAAATTCTATACAACATACAGACATGCTTCTAGCTAGCTTTGTAAAAAAATTGTTATATCTGAGCATGATTCCAAATTAGAGAAAATATACATGCATTTATCAACATACAGCATTACTCATTTGTTCTTTGAAAACCAGTTGTCCAATAATGGAAGGATCTTCAAATGACTGATATTTTTTTTCTGTTAATTCGAAAATTATTGAAATATATAAAATCAAAAGGTAAAGTTGGACAGGTGTTCATCACATTTTAAGCAACTTTTCGCAAATTTATCTACATAGAACATGAATTACTGTTGTGCACTTCAAAGTATAGATGAGCCATTACAATATGAAAAGCTGGTAAAATATGAATAATTTTCAAACCAAAATTCTCAATGGATTTATGAAAAAAGACAATTGTCAAATGTTCAGCAAATTTCACAAAATAACAATAACTCTTCATCATTCTTAATGCTTTGCATGCAAATAGTTATGACACATAATAAAATTGTTTTCTGAAATCATTGCTTAAATAAATAAGCTAAAATCAATACTTTCAACATATTGAGCATAGATAAAAATTAAAACATTACAGTTATTCAAAGTTTTCTGATCAGCATGATACACTACCTTATAGTTCTGTAGCTGTGTCTTTTTCTCTTCCAGAGTTGATCGCAATGGTAATTGTCCTTCCAATTGTGACTCCATGTCTCTTAGCCAGTGTTCCACTTGACCATAACTGTCATCGAATGATGTCCATTGTACAAGAGCTACTTCTAGTTTACGCTGAGCTGCTGATAAGTCATCAAACAGACTCTCCCAGCCGAGTTTCAGTTGACGTAATTCTTGTCTTATAACCTCCCTTCCTTCAGCAGCAGTGTTGGGGTAAAGTCTTTCACCAGATTCAATGACATTGTTAAGTTTACCGAAGCCAGCATCTCTTTCAACAGATAGCTCCTAGAAATGCAAAAATACACATATTTTCAGAGTTTGATGCTTAATATACACATTAGGAAACAAAACTTGCATTCAGAGAATGTTATAATGATCATTCTCTTTAAAGATATAAAGAATATTCAGGTTTTTTTTCTATTGTATGATCTAAATTCACTGATTTCAAAGAATCAGCTACCATTCTTTAGAATGAAATCGTCTGATTTTTCTCTTCATAAAAAGCAATATTCTTCCACCGACTTTCACTGTAATTACCTGTATTTTTTCCAGTCTATCCTCAAGGTCATTCCTGTTACCAGAAGTATCAGCACTCTGTCCAAACTTTTTCCTGGCTTTAGTTAACCATTGACTACAGTCAGCATGTCGTTCTCTATACAGTTTATGATCTGCAACGTTCTGCTCACATTTCTTCAGATTTTCCTATATTTGAAAAAAATTTAGTAAATTTATCTATAAATTTTGAGAATGCAACATTTTCATCAATGCTGTTTTGTAATAATTTAAAAAAAAATACATTCTTAAATTCATTTTTTTGTTTAGATTGCAAATGTAATTTCAATTTATTTTTAAACGATTATGATTCTGTACACGCTTTTAATTATTTTCCTTTTCAAAGCCGACAGAAATAAGATATTACCTTAACAGTTTGTTGTAGAGTTTGATATCGAGAAACCAATTGTGAGATTGAGGTTGCAACACGGCTTTCTCCGGTCAGCTGCTGTAGTGTTTGACCATCATCTGAAAACTGGTCAACTTCTCTTTGGTGACTACGCAGGTCTTGCATCAACTCCTGTAAAATTAGAAAAACAAAGTTTCTAAAATACTTGTAACAATTGCCTGTATGGTTATACAGAACGAACTTAAAGTCCCTTCATACACATCATATGACTTAAATCATATTGACCATCTTGTTAGAAAAAACCGAACCTGTTATTCACATGCTGCCTAAGATTAGAGATATAGTTTCAGATCTTTAAAATAAAACAAAAAAAAACTCAACATTGTCAACTTCCCTGCTCAATGGAATATACCATCTTTATTTTCATATTTATCCGCATTTCTTCATTGGCAACAATTAGGATTAATTAATCTGCAATACATAATTTATAAAGGCCCTGTTTCTACATCTTTCATGATATATTTTCAAATTTTCTTCATAGGCATTTATTAAATTTAACAAACAAAAAATTCAAAGGCCATGTCGCATTGTCTTATATGTCATAAAGAGTCCATAGGTCAGACATTTTTTTTTTAATTCACAAACCAGAAAAATTTCAGGTTTTCACAAAACGTATATGAAACTTGCGAGATTAAAGAAATGGAAATCAGTATTTAAATTTTTTATTAATACAATTATAAAGATTTAACCACTTATCTATTCATTCTTATAAACAACAGAATCTAAGTTCTCATAACCAACCCTACCGTGAACCAAGATAGTTTTATGTTTTTCATAGTTAAGTAAAATATTCAATTTAAATTTATAAAATAATTCATAAAAACATAATATACAACCAGTTTAAAAAATTCAGTGAAAACTTATAACAATAAAAGTGCATTCTATCACAAATGGTGTAATAAAACAAAACCAAAACAGAGTTCAAAAGCATGTGCTGCTGCAGAAAATGTTCATAAAGATTTTTAATAAAACATTTATAGCAAAGATGTTAAATTTTAAATCGTCTGCATGAAATATTTGCCACTGGACATGAAGCAAGCAACAATCAATCTATAAATTTTACATGACTTAAGTTGTTAAACCTAATTTCAATGTTCTTTTTTCACCACTAAAGCCAATACTCTGTTCACAAGACTTCTTGCATGCGGTCAATCTTATTTTAAAGAAGTTTTTGTAAGAAAATAAGTTAACAGCTCAGTGGCTCTGCTGTAAATAGATTCATTTTGGGGCCCTTTATAGCTTGCTGTTCGGTGTGAGCCTAGGCTCTGTGTTGACCTATAATTGTTAACATTTTATACATTGTGACTTGGATGGAGAGTTGTCTTATTGGCACTCATACCACATCTTCTTATTTATATCAGCAAGTAAGAATTGTATTGACCATTTTTAAGATAATTTGTACAAGATGGAGTAATCTTCGTTTACATGTATACAATAGCTGTGGGTAAGATTTGACGTCTTCATTTCTCAAATTAAGACATTTTAAGGTCTTTTTGGATCCTAGTTAATGATGAAATTGTTAACAAGCTGCAAATCAGTTGTAAGCCTATGAGAAATAATAAAAAATAATTTATACTGAAGTTTGACAAAAACTGTGAAGGAGCCAGCTTTGTGCCTTCACCATATATAAAACATCTTACTGATTCTAAATGTGAAAAGTCTTCCAATTCATGACGGAATTCTACAATGTCTTCGAGATATTCCTAGAACAATGGCAGTGATGTATATAAAATCCATAAAATACTTTTATGCTTTGTTTAAAGCATATAATGTTACATTTGAATAAATAAGCATTTTAAAATTAGCCAAAATTCAAATTACGAAATGCTGAAGCAACTTCTAGAAAGAAATTGATAGTTTCTTCCAAATAATTACATTGAAATTTAATTTACACAGCCAAATGTATTTATTTTAAAGCTAAAACATCTGAAATCTTTCATGTAATCATTTATGAAAAATAGTAGTCTGCATACCTGGTATCGAACAAGCTGATGTTGTTTATCCTCCACAGTAGATTTGAGAGGAAAGTCCTTGACCTTTTTCTCCATGTCCTTGACCCAATGAGAGATTTTCTCATGTTGCTCCTCATATTTGATCCAATGTTCAATAGCTCTGTCAAGATTATCATGGAGTGATCTAACTTGTGTTGTGTAATTTTCCCAGTCCATTTTAAGCATGTCTAATTCTTGCTGTATGCCCTGACGACCTTTGAGGGCAGTGGTTTCCATGGCTTTAGCACCTTTTTCTTCCACCACACTTATTTTGTTAACATTGTCAGGTATTTGAGCCAGTAATTCCTGGACTCTGTCAAATTTGTTTTGTAAGGTATGTCTGTCTCCTGAAATGTCAGCACACATTCCTACACGATCTTTCATCAAGGTCATCCAGTCAACGGCTGCCTGCAGGGAATCATGGTACTGTTGGTGATCGTAAACATTACGTTCACATTGTTGTATTGTAGTCTGAAATTAAAGATAGCATATCTTCATTGAATATATCCAAAACTTTGTATTAAATCATGATTTGGAAATAACATACTTGTCACTGAAAAGTTATATTACATATATAATAAGTTTAAATCAACAATACACTTTTTCCACTTGCGCTCAAATTTTCATGTCAAAGTGCAATCGCTTTTCAAATGGTATTGATACAATATCAGATTCTTTTTAACTTTTTAAAAATATCTTAAGGATGTTTAAAGCAGGTTATAAAACATTAAAAATTGTAGAGGTTTAACGGTTGAGAAAGTACTACAGAAATTAAGTCTATGTTTTTATTATTGCGAAAAATGATGCAGGGTTATAATCGCAATAATTTAAACTCGCATTTTGAAATTTGTTTATATGAATTAAACAGGATTTTTCTCAATATCGCAAAAATGAAAATCGCATTTTAGTCTAAAATGACAAAATCGCAATAATAAATGCACACAATAATTTCTGAATTTACAGTAATAAGATTCATTTTTCGCTATTTTGCATATTTTTCATTTGATCTTTTTTGTGATAATTTTTCAAATCATACTTGCTCGAGATAGAAAATTATCGTCCAAAACTAACGATGCATGTGACGCTGTCAATGTAAACATCAACGATGTCATAGGAAAAAAAAGCGATGGTCTTTCAAACTCAAGGATGTTTCTCGGCCCTTCGATTAGATTGTAGCTGAGAAACACCCTCTTGTTTGAAAAACCATTGATAATCTATAAATACAAACCTTAGCTGTTTGACACAAATCTTCATATCTAGAATTGATATCAGTGATGAAGGCAGCTACTTCAGGGTTAGATGTGCTGTGTAGTACACCCTGGGCTTTCTCTATCACAGAATCTACAAGTCTTTGGTGGGATGTAATGTCTGATAGCACAGGCTGTAGAATAAAATAAAATGTCCATTAATCAATAGAGAAAAGCTGTTTTAGATACATGCATATTGAATTCAATGTCATATCAAAATTTTAATCTTTGATCATATGTGTCATTTTGGTCTTCCTACACATCAATTCTGGTTACATTATAATGAACTGGCATCTTTCAATTTGTGAAATCTGTATAGTGGTCTTTGAAGAATTTTTTTAATTCAGTTTACTTATCTCATTTAAACCTCAAGCCCCTATCTATTATTCAGACAAAATATTGCTACACTTTTCTGTGTTAATGTATTTTCAAGCTTACACTATTACTTTCAAAAACGTTTTTATTCTAAATCAGCTTACTCTGAGGTTCTGTAATTGCAATCGTTTTTCTTGTAATGTATTTTTCAGGTCGACATCAGCCCTCAGTGCAGCCTCTGTATCAACCATCCATTTCATCAGCTGATCCTGTCCATCAGCATATGAGGACCATTGCATCAGGAATGAGTCAACCTTCCTCTGGGTATCAGACAGACCAGTAAACAATCTTTCCCAGTCCTCTTTAGCTGTGCGTAATTCCTGGCGAACCTTTTCACGTCCACCAGCAGCTGTGTCTGGGTAAAGTTTCTCTCCAGCTTCAATGGTGGCATTGAGTCTCTGTAGGCCATGATCTTTCTCTGCCATTAACATCTTGAATGATGAGAAAAGAAATTGATTAGACTTTAGATATAAATATCTGAACTGTCAAAACTTTTTACATGTTGATTTCCTAGTAGGTAAGAGAACTAACAATTTATCTCTACAATCAAACGTTGATTCATTTGTTTCAGTTCATATATGATCATTCCTATGTAGGGCTGTCCTTGAAATTTAGTTTATAAAAAGACAATTTTTTCTGAAGACAGATTTTCTTAAAATTAGAGTAGCAGCAAATATTTGTATGCTTTTAAACTTTTCTGATATAAAAATGAAGATCATCTTAATAATCAAAAATCAACAATGTTTCTTTTTATTGGAAAAAAATATAATTAAAAACAAAGTGTGACAGATAATAAATAGTAGGCCATGTTTGACAGAAATCCAATAATAAATTTTATTTGGCCTTAATAAAAATTCAGCAATATCAAATTCACCTGATAGTGATTCATAAATACCAATCAAAATTACTTTTTTTTTTACAACCTAATAAATTGGTAACATAGAAAAAAGTCTAGCCTGTTTGGCTTCATCACAAACTTTTATAATTGTTGATACAACATATGCTTGTGACACCAACAACAGCATACTTAGTCTTACTTTCACATCTGTTGTGGCATACTAGACAACATTGAACATGAAAACATGATATATATACCTGTATGGTGGTTCTCCTCTCCTCCATGGTTTCCTGGTCAGCAGCAGATTGCTGGCAAGTGTCCAGCTTAGCATCGGCTTGTTCTATCCAATTATTAAATTCTGCCAATCTGTTGTCATAACCTTGATGGTCCTGGGCATATTTCTCCCATTTACCTATCAATTCCTAGAAAAGACATAAAAACTACACTTAGTCTAAAGAAGGCAAACATTTTCAAAAAAGGTTAGAAAAAAAAAGAAATATAAAAAAAAAAGATTTTATCATCTTTTCTATAAACTTTATCACGTTTATAGTTAGAAAGTGAATAAGTAGTTTGAAAGTTTTGTAATTGTGTATACATACAAAGGTTATCTTGTGCAGTTCAAATTATCACATCATAAATTTTAAAAATACATTGACATTAATTCTTCATTTAGACTGCATTAATCAAACTCTTTGTCTCTTAATTTTATTTTTAGAAGAACTAATAATATAAATTTGATATTTTTCAACCTACCTTGACTTGTGAGAGTAGTCCTCTATATCTGTTAGTGAGCTGTGACACTTGTGTACTAAGTCTGGCGTCTGCACTGGTATGCATCAGATTCTGGGCGTCATCTGTAAATCTGTCAATCTCTGGCTGATGAGACAAAATCTCTTCTCTTTGTTTCTAAAGTAAAATATATCACATCTTAATAAATAATTCTGAGTTAACTGTATATATTTATAAAAAAAAAATCCAGTGGTAGAAGAAACTGTGCATTCATTTATTTCCTTTAAAACTAAATTTTGACGATTAAGAAAATCGTGGATAGTTTTTTCATTGTTTTAACAAAATCTGCATACAAGCCCATCAGATATTTATATATTGTTGAACACTTAATTTTGTGGCTCACCTATACCTACAAGTCCCAAAAAATTAGTCCCCATAAACAATAACGAATTCAAAGAAGCAATTTTCATCTATTGATTCAGCTTTTTTTCAATATATTTTTGTTGGGGGTATGGTTAACAAGACATGAGGGCATGCTCTATGACCAATAAGAGAGTGGTTGAAAACATTTTTTGTATCTTTTTTTTTTCAAAATAAGGTTTTAATGCATCAATTTAATAAGACTAAAAAATATTATTTTCATTTACCTTGAATCTTTCCACTTGAGTTTGTTTCTCTCTCAGTGAAGACTTCAATTCATAGTTTTTGACTTGTTGTTCCATGTCTTTAAGCCAAGATGAACATACAGAGAACTTGGACTCGAAGTCTCCCCACTGTACCATTGCAGTCTGTAGGTCCTCTTCAGTCTGTTGTATACGAGCCAGATAATCCTCCCACTCAGACTGGAGGTGGTCAATATCACGTCGTAATACCTCACGTCCACGTTGAGATGAATTCTTTGTAGTCTTTTCACAAAGCTCTTTTGTGGCTTTCAATTTCTTTTCACCATCTCCAACTTTCTCAGCACACTCCTGTTCATAAAAAATTAAAATCTAAAATAGTTTTTGATACCTCAACATATCCAAACACATTAACTTCATAAAAGTTATAATAATTGAATTTACACAACTATCTCAATTAACTGATACCCCATATCTACTGCTTATCATGAACAAGGTTGTTTTACCAAAAATGTCTTTTAACTTAAAGCAAAATTTCTTTCAATAACTTTTATAGCAATGATTTTTTTCCTTATCATTTACAGCGTAAGTAATCTGTATTATAAATAGCTCTTCCTACTAAAACTGAATAATTGAAAAAAAAAAAAAAATTATTTTACCTTGAGTCTTTCTAGTTTATTCTGCAGTGACATCTTATCACCTGAGGTATCGGCACATAGCTCGACTTTTTCCCGTGAGGCGTTAAGCCAGTCCTGACAGTCCTGGTACATATCTTGGTACTGTTGGTGGTCCTTCTGTGAGGCCTCTAGTTTGTCTAACATCTGTTTCGATGTATCACATAGTTTCTCGTATTTGGTCTGCAATTCTCCAACAAATTTCGCCACTTTAGCCGAGGGTGTAGACTGTGACAAGTTTCTAGCCTTGTCCAGTAAATTGTCCATAACATGTTGTCTAGATACAATATCTTGATGTAACACCTTAAAAGATAATGATATTCAGGTAAACATTATATTTTTTATTTTTTATGAATAACATATTATACTACATATTCTTTTTTTTCAATCTATACAAAATCTCTATGAATGACTTTATCATGTGAAACAGTTTTATACATGTATCCAAAGGAATTATACAGTTTCTCTTTCTATTCATTCTTAGTAATGGAATTTTTAATTCGAAAAATACCCTATTATCTAAAATTTACTTATAAAATGCTGAAATTATCAATTTACCCTGTGATTTTGTAACTGAGCTTTTTTATCAGGCAAAGTAGCTTTCAGGTCCGTATCCTCTCGCAGTTTGATTTCAGTATCCAGAAGCCATTTCTGGAACTGTTCAAAGTTTTCATCATAAGAGGACCATTGTAGTAAAGTGGTGTCTAGTTTACGTTGGGTTTCTGCTAACACGTCACAACCCTGTTCCCAGTGCTCACGTAGACCTCTCAGTTCCTGACGGATTATATCACGACCCTCTGAAGCAGTGCTGGGATACAGTTTCTCACCACATTCTACAGTGTAGTGTATTCTGGTAGCTCCTTGATCTTTTTCTGCTACAAGTTCCTAAATTGAACAACAAATACAGAATTATATTTTGTTTATTTTTAATTTCAAAGCAATCTATCTTTAAATCCTCTGTTTAAGCAAGGATTACTTGTATTATAACTTATATTCTATCTCCTTTTCCTAGTTTTGGTTCTACTGATTCTAAAGTAAAGCTTTAAATTCTAAATATCAAAACAGAATATTAGACATGGAAATAAAATTGCCAATCCATACTGCATAAAGTAAACTTTTTTGATAAACTTGATCAAATATATCTACACAGTAAAAGTTAATAGCCTTATATGTAATATAAATAAATAATTAAACCAAAGAGCTGGGTCAGTTCCTATCTGAGATAACATCAATAATCAAAGATTTCTATTTTGCATATTTTATTACAATATGGGTGTCCTTTTCAAAGGAGGCTAATGCAAGAGAAATAAAAATAGGACAATTACCTGTAGCTTAGAAAGTCTGTCCTCGACATCATGTTTGTCACCAGCCATATCAGCACAGACCTGTAGTCTCTGTAGTAAGGTTCCTAACCATTCGGAACATTCACTGAAGTTCTCTTGGTAAGTCTCGTGTTCTAGTGCATGATTACGTAGTTTGCCAATCAAATCCTACAATGCATAGTTTATACTTTTGATAAGAATGTAGTCATGTACCATAAAATAAGAGATAACTGTCTTGTATTTTAATAGTTCTTGAGGAGGTGAATCAATCTATTCATATATGAATCTGAAGACATGAAAACTATTTTTGACAATCATTTTTTCCTTACAGTGCATACTCAATTTTCATCAAACCAAAAATGTCATCTTTCTGAAAATCATTTAATGAAATTGTTCACACAATTTGTGTTTAAAATAGTACAAATATTTAACAGACTCACATTGAGATTTGCATCAAACCAAAAATGTCATCTTTCTGAAAATCATTTAATGAAATTGTTCACACAATTTTGTGTTTAAAATAGTACAAATATCTAACAGACTCACATTGAGATTTGTCTTGGCTGTCTGGTATCTGGTGGATAGTTGTGAACTGAGACTGATCAGTCTGGAATCTGAACCCTGAACCTGTGATGCCATATTCTTCAAATCATCAAACTGACCTTGTCTTGTGTGAACATCATTCTGCAAGTCCTGGATTAATAAAAAAAAAAGGTTAACCTAATGACTGAAGCAAGGGTCCGGAAACGATCATATTTGCCAGTCATGTCCTAAGATGAAACTATTTGTCCTAAACGAGTAATTGGGATTTAGGACAAATTTTATTTTTTTACAGAAGTAATTTCGGTCATTTCATTGACTCAATGTTTGAAATCGGATTTCGTAATCGCCATTTTGCACTTGTGATCACTTGTTTTTGTTTATAATCCCTTTCCTGTAATAAAACTGCCACTAGATAGTTTGATAATCCTGAGGGCCCTCCTAATATCTATACCAATGCCTCCGGGAAACATTGGCTAATGATCACTAATCACTTTTTACCTGTGGTTTTAATTCACACCTGACAGTGATCACAAGTTCAGAATAATATCTTTAAAACATTAAAGTTCCCTGACATGTGTGTTCATTATTTATTTACTTTTCATCAAAGACAGTCATCAATTCTGATTTAAAAATTAAATCTAAATTTACGTAGAAAAAAGTATTTTTTCATGAGTAACACATGTGCTTTATTTACTATGGAATACGCATGCGTGAAATTGTCTTCAGCAAATTTAATATTTAATCGTAAAATGCAAATTGATTTCATGCTAAATTAAACGAGTGCAACTATTATCTGTTATATTCAAACACCTTTAAAGGTAATAAAATAAAAAAGCCGGTGATTTCCTGTTAATTTGATAAACAAAACAAATCCCGGAAATGAATCCGGAATTATTCGTACTTTAAAATATCGCAAACTTCCGGTTTTAACTTTTGTCAAATTGAAAGAAACGTTAGCAATGTCTGAGAAATTAACCATTTTGAGTCATTAAAATCATTTCAATTTTAGACTGTTGCCTTCCCTAAACTGTCCTTCATGGTAATGGTAAGACATTTACTTAGTAAATGCGATGAAACAGCAATACAAGTTCGTCATGTTCGTTGATGCTATGAATATAGTCAAGTTGATATCGGCAATTTGAAAAGGGGCACCAACTTTTCAAACTTCTCAAAATGACCGAAATTGTCTGGAAAAATTTCCGGATCCTTGCTGAAGGCTAAAATTTAAAATAACGATTTTCTTACAATTGATTTATTTCAAAGTTGTTATGAGCTATTCAAAAAAAATTATCTGTATTGGAGTAGTGCCATGGCGAAAAAATTGATTCAGGTGACCTTACCACACAATTTATCAAACTTAACACAAAATTTAAAACTTTTTGAAGTCAATTTGAAAAAAATCAGTATGTACATGAAAACATACAAAAACAAATATACGAGAGAGAGAAAATTACAATTCTTAAATAATTTGATGCCCAAAGAAAGCGTAAAAACAAAAAGACAACTTACTTTGTATTTTTCAACCTGAGCTTGTTTTTCAGGTAGTGTTGATTTCAGTTCGAGGTCTTTAATCTGAGCCTCTACGTCTCTCAACCATCTATTTAGGGACTCACATGAACCATCATAAGCCTGTAAAGCTTGAATAGAGTGAGTCAAGTTTTGTTGTGTCTCTCCCAGTTTGGTAGCTAATGTCTCGTAATCTTGTGTCACAGACTCCAGTTCACCATTAATGTGGGCCTGACCTTGTCTGGCTGTCTGTGGTAATGTTTTCTCTCCCTGAACATGAGTTGCTTTAACTTTCTTTTCTCCATCTCTCAAAGAGGTCATCAAATCCTATAAATAATTTGTAATTGTTTAACTTTATCCAAATATAGTACTTCAACTTCCTTACATATACACATGAAACAGATCAATTTTCAGTTTAAGGAACAAGTTTACCGAACATCATGATCCCAATAAAAGATTTATCCAAACTGAATTTTCTTTCTTTGTGTGTCTTCTAATCCTCAATGACTTTTCATCAGTGCAACAGTATATATTGGATATACAGGTACCGGCAAAAGACTGCTTCATATTGAATTTGGAAAGTTTCATTCTGGATTTTTAATTTATAATGCTACTAACAAAGTGATTCAAATAAAAGAAAAAATCGCTTACCTGGACTCTGTCAAGTCTGTTATTTAATGCTTGTTTATCTCCAGTAACCTCGGCACACACAGTGAGTTTATCTTTAGTCATGTTCATCCAGTCACGACATTGCTGATGTGCATCATGATAAAGCTGATGTTGGTCAACATGTTCCTCTGCAGTCTTAACTTGATTCTAAAAATATAAAATACACATTAAAGTAATTTAGTTATTTTTTATGGCTATTCCATTAAATGAATTTTGAAGGGTAAAAAGGCATGCTCTATCTTTTTACCAGTAACAGGCTATTATTTGAACTTGGAATTATTTTTAATTATGGAATTTGCATAATTTCATGTGTTTGAAATTTTTGATAAATTCCATGTTTATTAAGTATTATTATGTTTTGAGCGGTGCATAACACTTTCCACACAATGTATTTTGTAAAGATAGTGTTGTGCGCGGCACAGTACATTCTATTGAAAATGCACTATCTTCTTTGTAATAGAAAGTGTTGTGCGCAGCACAGAACATCAAAATACAGAATAAACATGGAATTCATTAAAAATTTCAAGCACAAGAAATAATGCAAATTCCATAATTAAAAATAATTTCAAGTTCAAATAATAACTTGTTCAGAATAGCCTGTGAAAAGGGCTTAAAATCTTATTACAAAGTTATCACACTGCTTAAACTAAAAAGAATTAAAATAATATGTAAAAAAATAAACTGTGTATTTATCTGAGTTATAAATTTATATATTAAATGTGAACACTACCTTTATCAATAAATACAGCGGATAAAACTTTCCCACAGCTAATATATATTCTGCTATGTTACCAGCAAAATGGGTTACTTCACAATATATTTTATCTTTTAGCATGCTTACTCTTGGAAGGAGGAAATTTTCCTATGTAGTTATAAAGCAGTGTTCCATATTCATCATTCAGGCCTCAGAGATTGCCCTTGGCTTGCTAAGCCTCTTCCTGTGCACCTGTAAAGTGCCTATTATAAATCCTTAGACCTTTTAACTTAGGCCTTTGCTTGTTGTGAGCCTTCATATGCAGTTTCAGAGTGCATTGTATCTATCACTTCAGTGTTTCAGTTTGACCTTGACTATTGGGAGCAAACCTGTGCACCATCTTTGTTTTAAGTAGATATCATTGAGATGGGAGCCATCTCTGTGGGGCCCGCTGTGAATAATGTGTGGTAAAAAATTTGTATCTTTATCTTTGGACATGGGGTTGTCAACTGAAACCGAAGTTTATGACCTTGACCTTTGACCTAAAAAGTTGTACATCAATTATGACACACCCTCTGGTGCTGGTTTATATACATGTCAATTATAAACTTTGAAATCATAACGGTTCTCAAGATATAGAGCGGACACGATCTTTGTCATAGGACATGGGGTTGTCAACTAAAACCAAAGTTTTTGACCTTGAACTTTGACCTAGGAAGTTGTACATACATTATGACACACCCTCTGGTGTTGGTTTATATACATGTCAAGTATAAACTTTGAAATCATAACGGTTCTCAAGATATAGAGCGGACACGATCTTTACCATAGGACATGGGGTTGTCAACTAAAACCAAAGTTTTTTACCTTGACCTTTGACCTAGGAAGTTGTACATACATTATGACACACCCTCTGGTGTTGGTTAATATATATGTCAAGTATAAACTTTGAAATCATAACCGTTCTCAAGATATAGAGCGGACACGATCTTTACCATAGGACATGGGGCTGTCAACTAAAACCAAAGTTTTTGACCTTGACCTAGGAAGTTGTACATACATTATGACACACCCTCTGGTGTTGGTTAATATACATGTCAAGTATAAACTTTGAAATCCTAACGGTTCTCTAGATATAGAACGGACACAATTTGTTAAGGATGGACGGACAGACGGAGAGACGGACAGACGGACAGACAGACTGACCACAATAGGGCATCCGCCATTCGGCGGGGCCCTAATTACTCTATTCTCCTTAATTACTTGGAGCAGAATTGTAAACCAAGGAGCTATACAAAATACCCTGTATTTATCATTTAGTCTTTTCAGTGTTCCCACTGCATGTGTTTTCAGTTTGCCCAATGCCTGTTTAGAAGAAACTTTCTTACCTGTGCAGCTGTACAAAGTGCCCTGTATTCATCGTTCAGTCTTTTAAGTTTGCCCTTGGCTTGCTGAGAGGAGAGGGCAGCTCCTTTATCTCCAACACTGTCTATCATTGTCTGATGGGATAATATGTCTTGGCAACGAGTCTGAATAAAGATATAATTTTATTTCATACACAAAATGGTGAAAAATATATGTCACTGTTCTTAAAGTTCATCAAACATCTTACAACCTCTAAAAAATTAAATCCAGATAATAAACAAATTTAAGTAATAGCAAACAGACCAAGAGCAGATTCAAATTAGAGAAAGGGTGGGCTTATAGATATCAATAATGCATATTTTAAAAGATGTTGAAATTTTTTTTTGAATTTGCCAGAGAGTGATTTAATAATATTTTGTAAAGACCTCAATTATTTCACAGACCCTTAATACAGAAGACTTTGTCAAACATTAGATCTGGAAATAAAATTGTGTTTACTGGATTTTTTAAATTATACCAAATATGTCATATATGTAATAAGATTTTCAAAATCTCTTCATCATACAAAAAAGTGCATATCACATTATATCATCACAATGTAAAGTTTTTGATTTAACACTTCAATATTTTAGCTTTTTTATGTCACATATTTAGTTTAGCAAGCCAAAATACATGACAATGTTACTGCAGAAAATGTTAAACCAAAAACTCTTCATCCAACTCCCAGCATTACATGATTAAAATTAAACTTTGTTTTAACATCACATCACACAGACAAAAATACTTAGTCACAAATCAACATTTTACAGTAGCAAATAGAGATTTCAAATATTAACACTTTAAAGTAACAAATCTTAAATTCTACCACTGTTCTGAAATAACACTTTTTATAAAATTATACTTTAAACTTGTATGGTAAAAGAATGCTATTTTTATTTCAAGCATGATGTCCTTTTTCCCTTTTCGTTATTTGCCTGTATATTGACATTTAATAATTTAGCAAATTTGTCTTATAATTAGTGATTAAAAAACAACCTCCAAATTCTTTCTTAATCATTAACTGATTTAATCAGATTTTCTATGATGTAAATTATCAATTATTTTGTTATTTTTTTTTGGTTCATAGCTGTACTAGTATTGTTAGTTTTAATTAATCTTATTTTAGCAACATTAAAATTTCATGGAGACACAAAAACCTTGAATTCTTTTGACATGAACATAAAAAAATGTCTATTTATTCAGTTATATCGTTTATAGCAACCTTCTCTATGTAGCATTACCATACTTATCAAACATCCTTATCTTTCAGGAAAATCATTACATAAAGTTTCAAATAACATTTATTTCAGCCTGTGTCTCATACCTTGATAAGAACTGAAGTTTAAATAAAAAAAAAAAAAAAATTAATACCGTAGTCTAAAAACTTAGCATTAACTGTTAAAAAACTCAGCATTAATTTAAAAAAAAAACCACATTTTTAAGTAGCATTAAATTAAAAGTTTTAATCAGTATCAAAATAAAGTTTATAAATATTAACACTATGGTTTTAATCAGCAATGAAAAAAAACTTTGTTAAACAAATCACTCACAATTTATTACTATGTCTGCAAGGCATCCATGTTTGACATTTTTATATTTAAAATTGTTAGCTACTGCAAAATGAAACAAGACAACAATCAACTGTGTGTTATGATTCTATCACAAAGTTTAACAATACCCTGTAATGCTGAAGCATGGCTTTCTTTTCTTGTAAAGTATTCCTTAATTCTTCATCTTGCTGGACTTGGTTGTCCATATCGGACACCCAGTTCAACAGCTGATCATAATTATCATCAAAGGTAGTCCACTGCATGCGGCTACTTTCAAGCGAGCGCTGGGTGTCATTGAGTTTGTCGTTGAAGGATTCCCATTTCTCACGAAGTGATCTCAGATCCTTGCGGACTGCTTCTCTTCCAGTATTTGAGGTATTTGGATAGAGCTTTTCACCAGCTTCCAGAGCAGCATTAAACTTAGAAAGACCTTCTTCTTTGTCTGCCAATATATCCTATAAAACGTATTTGCATGATTTTTATTCAGGTATTATGAGACAACTCATATTTTTAAGACCTGCAGGTACTTGCTATTTATTTCAACTTAATTGATGTATAGGGAGCAAAATCTATCTTAAGATCATTACAGGTGAAAGTCCAAAATTGATCTAAGGTTACCGAAATTTTGTTATAAATAACTTTGAGAAAACAAAAGCCTATAGACTTTCTGTTAACTACATAAACACAAGTTTAAACAATATAAAAATAAGGAGATGTGGTATAATTGCCAATGAGACAACTATACACCAAAGTTCAAATGAAGTGGATGTAAGCAATTATAGGCAACCATATGGCCTTCAACAATGAGAAAAAACCATACCATATAGTCGGCTATAAAAGGCCCTGACATGAAAAATATGAAAGAATTCAATTGAGAAAACTAACGGCCTAATTTATAACAAAACAATTTACGAAAATCAAATATGACAAAACTGCTTTTTCAAGGATATATAAAAATCAAATTCTATGTGACACACTATGTGTACCAAATACCCTCACAATCTGAAAATGTAGCCAAATTCTTATGAAAGTCCTCTAACTTACAAATATAAACGACAAAAAGAGATACTAAACCCACCTCAACATTTTGTAGTTTAGCTTGTAGACTGTCTTGGTCATCAGCCAGATCACTACAGTCCTCTAACTGTTGTAGGGCACCTTCTAACCAGTCCGTACAGTGTTTATATTTGTTTAGGTAGTCTTGGTGTTGTTCTGCATTCTGGTCACAACGTTCACATTGTTCCTACAAATGACAAGTAAAAATTGACCAAAATTATAAGAAAATAGGTTGAAAGATAAAGCAATGCATCACAGGTTGAATAACTATAACAGAATATTTATTGTATGTTCCAGTTGGTAAGTTCAGTTTAAATAGGTTTCTTGTTTGTTCTAGTTTAACTATGAAAGTGAATAAATACGAAAGCAATGCTTACAGCTCAAAAGTTGTTTTAAACCAACAGTACATACCTATATCAAAATATCACTTAAAGTTTTAAAATTTGTTAAAACAAATTTGTATAAGATTATAAATTTCAGTAAGATACAACTATTTACATTTAATTTTTTCTCTAAATGTAACATTTCTTCAGACTACAGCTAATTCTAATATCACCTTTACTTACATTAACATTATTGGCCAGTGTCTCATATCTTGACAAGAGCTGAGCAGCATATGTAGCAGTTCTACCATCACCTGTGGTGTTAGAGATCTCAGAGGCCTCGTTACGTAAGGCTTCAAATTGAGGTCTGTGTCTCTGTATATCTTCATTCAAGTCCTGAAAGAAATGATAGTAAGAATTATGTGAACATGGTGTAAGACAAATGTTTTACTGTTTATTAAATTGCATGGGTCTAAAAAAAATTATTGGTCAAAGAGTTGAACTTACTGTTTTAATTGCTATTAGTCTTCTTTTCTTGTTCACAAAATGTCAGCTGAACATTTTGTGAGCATTTAACTTCAAATATGCCCTGTTCCTATTAATTTTTCTTCAAGAATTTGAATTATTGCAAACTGTTCTAGTTTATAGGATATTAAAAAATGTCCTATCAAAAAGTTTAAAGGTCACTTTATTTTCTATCATTTTATTTCAATAATTTCAATAATTATATCAGTAAATTTGACATTATAAAAAAACACTTTTAGCAGTAGAATAACCATTCTTGAGAAATCCTGATATCCCCTGCTTTTTTTTGTTAGTTTTGCATGCTTCTTCTAGTTTTCAGGGCAGTGTTTTGTGGACTGTTGTTAGTGTTTTGGGCTTTTTATTATCTAACCATGGTCTGCATTGTTTAATCATTTTTTATTCCCCCCTTATCCATATAAAAAAGAAGTAAATATAATTTAGATAATTTTATACATACACTGAAGTGTTCAGCCTGTTGAGTTTTGCCTGGCAGGTCAGCTTTCAGATTGCCTTCGTTTCTGACTTTGCCTTCCATATCTTTGATCCATTGAGAAAGTCCTTCATATTTATTATCATACTCCATCCACTGGTCAACAGATCCTTCCAATTTGTTCCTAAAAATATACTGATACAGTCAACAGGTCAAATTGTTTTTTCATTGCAATCCAAACATGTTGGTAAAATATTGGACAAAAAATTTCACTTTCCATTGTTTTGCATCATCAGTAAACATCAGTTATCAATTGTGAAAGGATAATCAAAATTTTAATTTGTTCTCTTTTATATAATAGATGATGTTATAACCGAGATACTTTACTTTAGTGGAAATTATCAGGAATGGTTTGAACCAGTTATTTTTTTTAAACAGATGGGTAACTCAAATTTGATTAAATTCACCAACAAAATAGAGCGTAGTATCTAAGTCTAGCACTAGTGTTCTGTTGCACTTACTGCGTTTGCTGTAGTTGTTTGACTAAGTCCTGGAATTCTTTGTCAGCTTGTTTCCTCTGTCTCTCTAATTCAGCTTGTCTTTCTCTGGGTAAGACAGCTTTCAGTGTGTCTAACTTAGCTGCTGCTAAATCTTTCTTTTGTTCTCCATCTTTCAAACCAGCTATCAAGTCCTGTAAAAAATAGAATAGTCCATGATCTGAATTTATTTTCAGATTTTTTTTTTCTTTAACAAACATCCTGGCGGATGATTATCATATTAATAAAAAAACAAAACATTAAATACCTTGTATAAACATATGTAAACCAATCAGTACTTTAACTCAGTTGTTTTTAATCTTGACTGGTCATAAAAGGCTAAAGATCTTACAGCTTACAATCTTAAAATGTAGAATACCTACCTTGATAGTTGCTAATTTTCCCTCTACACTGTATCTATCGCCAGAGATGTCTCCACACCAAGCTAATTTCTCTTTAGCTGCATTAAGCCATCTCTGTTCCTGGAGTTGAGCATCTTGACAGTGTTGTTCTAGAGTGCTTTCAAGCATGTCAGCTATCTTATCTCCACGGTTTACAACAGTGTCAAACTTCTTCCCAAGGACGACAGCATCCTTGGCAAGGTTGCTTGTCTCGGCAGACGGGTATTTATCCTGTAAAGCAGCTGTTTTGTCCTGCAGGGCTTTTATGTTTCTTTCATGCTCTTCAAGTTCTTTTTGAAGTTCCTGTTATTAAACAAAATATATGTTAAATCTGTATAATGATACACCTTATTTACATTTTCAATCCATCATCGTACATCAACAATTAAAATTTGAAAAAAACTATAATAAACTAACATGGTTTGTGTTCTTTTTAAAAATACTAGAAATATATCCTTTCACTATTTCCATGGTTACAAAGAAGGCAGCAATGAAGAACAATCACTCACCTTGGTATTTTGAAGTCTTCTGACCAGATCTTCATCGGAACCAGAGACATCGTCACATTTGGCTAATTTATCTTTGATTCTATTTATAGCATCAGTTTCTTGCTCAATAGCTCTCTGTAGATTAGTTCTCTCATCTGAGAAGTTAGCCATGATGGCCTCTAACTGATTAGCCATCGTAGAAGATTTGTCAAATTTCTCTTGTATCTCGTCTTGGGAATTTGATAATTCAGGGATTGGTCTCCCTTTGTTCAGTTCCTGTAAGTCTGCTATTTTCTGCTGAACTTCACTGATAACATCAGCATAGTATGGAGCTTCCTCCTACAAAAATAAAATCAGAATTATATGAATTTCTGTGATGACACTGTTCAGGGCAAGTTTATGGGACTGAAGTTACTCCTTCATCATATGCATGAGTTGAAGCTGTTGTCAAATCATTTATGCTGAATAACATTGTCTTGAGTCAATATAAGAAAGTTTATTTAAAAGGTAAATGCAGAACAGATTGTTCTTTTAAGAAATACAGATATTTTGATTTTGATTTCCCTTTTCAAGGAATACTCTTTTTCTCCTTTAAAGATGACCGCACTAACAAAACACACCTTAAAACTGACCAAAAATTTAAGTTTAAAAATTCTTCCTGAAATTAATGAAATTCAATCTAAATTACCTTATATTTCATGAGACAGGACTCCACACTAACAGCATCATCAAAATGTGTCAGACTGTCGGCCAGTTTAGTATTCATGGTATTCATCCACGATTCTATTTCCTCTTTGCCAGACATGACCTGGTCCCAACAGATCAACTGAGCTTCTAGGTTCTCTTTGTGTTGTTCAATTTCCTATTAAAATTCAATATTTCAAAATAATTATATTAAATGATTTTTTGTTTCATTCAGGGATTTCTGAACTAATTATGTTGAAGCTGTAAATAAGGTTCACAGATGTATATTTTCATATATTTTTTTATTGTTTCGTGAAAGTTATCACATATATGCATTACTATTTAACTTTAATTCTACAAATTTTCTTTTAAATCACCTTTTTTCTAGGATTTACAATGTATTACAAATATTTCATAATGTTTTTTTATTAACTTTCAAAATTTATGCATTTTGAATATTTGATCATATCCATTACTGTGGATTTGAACTTTCTTTTAAGCACATTTGTTATGTATATTTCAGAAAACAACACAGCAATACCCTAACTAAAGAACAGCGATGAAAGATTAAGCTGAATACACAACACTTACTGAATTTGATGTTTCCCATTTATGGTTGACTTCATCAAGGTCACGTTCAAGGACAGACACATCAAAGTTGGGGCAGTTTTTCAGTTCTTCTAACAACTGTAATCCCTTATTGTTCATCTGGTCAAGTTGTGATTGGTTTGCATGCAATTCAAATTCAGCATTCTGCAAATAAAAAATAATTACCATTTAGTGTGTAAAAATATATTAAGAGGTCAGATACTGGTGAGTGGTGTAAATATTTTCATTTAGAGAATATCATTTCCAAATATTCATAAAAGTTTTATTGTAAAAAATATTGCCATATTATACAGTAATTTATTATAACAATTATTAAAATTAGAAAATTAATCTCAAAGAAAAAACTTCTAAAATTACAACAATGAAGTATAGTCTCATAAGATTATCAAGTTTTTATATCCAAAAGAAATCAGTCCATGTGAGAATCGAACAAATGTTGTACTGCGTTAGTGCTAAGAACTTTCACAATTGACAGTAAATTACCTTGTGCTGATCCAAAGCCTTTTTGACTTCATCAGGGGAAGTAAATGCCATTTCCTGTTGAACTTGTGGCTGTACATCTTCCAATACACGTCCAACATTTTGTTTGTTATCATTGTATTGCTGCCATAAGTTGGCCACACCACTGTAGGTTTGGTACTTGTCTGCCAAAAGAGCCTGAACCTGGTCCCATGCCTTATTGACTTGTCGCAGGGAATCAGTAGCACTTCCTCCTTTTGTTGTATCAGCTTGCTGCAGCTGTCTTCCTAGTTCTCTCAGTTGTTCATATTCTGGGTTCATTGCATACATGTCATCTCGAGCCTCCTAATGAATAAATTTGCAAGTGTTAAAATGTATAAAAAGTGAATTGAAAGTGTTAACATATTCAATGCTGTTTACCCACAAAAGGAGACTTTAAATTCTTATTTTGTTTAGTTCTCTATTTGTGGCAAATTTAACAAATCAATTCTGATTTACTTTTGTTGCTATAAGTAACAATTTTTTCTGTTCATATTTTACATTATTCCAAACGCAATAAAGTTCAATTTTGAAAAACAGAAGTAACGATACAAAATTCTTAAAAGTAACTTTAATTTATAAAATTGGTTAACAAATTTAACATGAAATCAAATTGAACAACTAATGTCACCAACTTTTTACATTTTTAAATAAACAGCTGCGCCATGAGCGCATGATACGCCCGTCGTCTTGTGTGTGAATTTTTATGCAATAAGCATAAATAGTTTCTGACATACGGCGTGACATGCGAAAACCCCCTTTTTTTTTTTACAAAAAACTCAATATCTCTAAAATAAAATTTTGAATCAAAACCAAAAAGTATACAGATCTTTAGATTAATATAACTAAGAAGTGTGTAAAATTTTAAGCAATAACCATAAATCGTTTTTGAGATACGGCGCGACATGTGAAAACCCCCCCTTTTAAAAAAAAAAAAAATCAATATCTCAAAAATAAAACTTTGAATCAAAACCAAAAAGTATACAGATCTTAAGATTAATATAACTAAGAAGTGTGTAAAATTTTAAGCAATAACCATAAATCGTTTTTGAGATACGGCGCGACATGTGAAAACCCCCCTTTTAAAAAAAAAAAAAATCAATATCTCAAAAATAAAACTTTGAATCAAAACCAAAAAGTATACAGATCTTTAGATTAATATAACTAAGAAGTGTGTAAAATTTTAAGCAATAATCATAAATCGTTTTTGAGATACGGCGCGACATGTGAAAAACCCCTCCCCCTTTTTTTACAAAATACTCAATAACTCAAAAATAAAATTTTGAATAATCACCAAAAAGTATACAGATCTTAAGATTAATATAACTAAGAAGTGTGTTAAGTTTTAAGCAATAATCATAAACTGTTTTTGAGATACGGCGCGACATGTGATAAAAACAAACACCTGTTTTAGTTACTAAGTCCCGTAACTCAAAAAGTTGTAATCTTATTTTCACCAAAAAGTATACAGATCGTTTGACCATCATAAGAAACAACTATTTTAGTTTCATGAAATTTGGATAAGTCATTCTCAAGTTACGGTGCGACATGTTTACGCTGGACAGACAGACGGACAGACAGACAGACGGACAGAAAGACGGACCTATAAAAAGACAACTCCATCTAATCATTTTATGCTGAAAGTAGTGAATGTTTTTATTTGTACAACGAATAAGGAAAGATGAGAATTCCATCAAGACTGCCTTACAATTTCACATTTTGCAGTAATTCTTATTTCAAAATGCACTTTATTTGCAATTATCAAAATATAATTTTTCTGTTATCTGAACGATAGTAAGAATTTCAAGTGATTCAAATACACAAATCTAACAGAAAACTTAATTTAGAAACAAGAAATTTACCTCTATTTCATTCACAAGTTCTTTGATGCCCTGTAATGACGAGGAGTCCACTTTACTATTCTGTATCTTATCACCCAAAGTCTGTAATTTACCAAGAAGATTGCCCTTCTTATTATCAAACTCATCCCACAGTTGATGTAATTCACTCAAATGTCCTTGTTTCTGTGAGGCATTGGTGGACACGGAATCACACATGTTTTCAAGAGCCTGAAGCTCTGTACCAAAGTGCAATGTCCTTTGAGTAGCTCTGTCTTTAATGACAAGTTGTGCAGTGCCCATTAAATCATCCAGTTGTTCTTTCTTACGATTCCAGGGAGCCATACTTTTACGTAAGGCTTCTACCTCTTTGTTTATCTTATTAACCTCCTCCTCACTGATGTCGGGTTGTTGAAGTTTCTGTTGGAGAGATTTTAACTTTGCCTGGACGTCTTTTTGGTCACCGGAATAATTAACCCATTGTTCACATAAATCCTCTCTATTTTTTATTAAGTCCTCTACTTTTGAGTATCCAGCCATCATACGGTCAAACCTATCTCTCAACATGGCTGCTTCCTCCTCGCTACAGTTTTGAATAAGGTCTTTAAATTCTTGAGTTAAGGCATTAAACATAGGTTCATGACCTTCACATTCAGCTCTCAATTCCTAAAGAAGTAAATATTTTCATTAATGTAAAAGACATATCAAGGGAAGCAAAGAGTTGAAATTATGCATCAAATTCATCAAAGCAGCAAAATATAAATATATCAATATGATAAAGGTTCTTTTGAGGATAACAAATTTTCATCTATGATGATAAGTGATTGCTTATTCATGTCCAGCAGCAAGTTTTTTGTGCAAAATGAGGACAGTAACATATTAATGATTTATGAATTTACCCTGCTGTGTACTAGACAATCATATACTGAGGTGGATATGTAATGAGCTACCTTTCAATCAATATAAATATTTCCAGAAAAATTTCTATTTGATACAATTTCTGACTCAGAAAAAATATATTTGATATTACTCTTACAAGCTTTATAGAGTTGCAGTAAATACCGAATTACTACATCTTTTGTTTGACACAGCTTGGGACCTCTAGAACTTGAGATAAACATGCTATCATAAGACCACAAAGGTGGTATTATTCCTGGTTTAATTCAAATTCAACTAAATGGAATTAATTAGAACAAAGATTATTGTTTCTGTTGTTTTAGTACAAAGAAGATGGTTCGATAAGTTTTTATTTTCTACTTTGATTTCCAAAATGCAGCTTATTGAAATTTCCCTTCCATATATAATAGAATACCTCATAAAAATGCAAAAAAGTTCATCCTTACTTTGAGTTTAGCTTGAAGATCAGGAACTTCATCGGCATAAATTTCATTTCCAGTATCTAGTTTACGTTGGGATTTCTTCAACCATTTCTCAAAGTCCTGTAACTGTCCGTAGAAATCTTGACGATGTCTGACGGCAGCACCCACCATGTTCTGTCTCTCAGCAGCATCCTCAGATGTCTTATTATATGCTAATTTAACAGCATCCATCTTGGATTGAAGAGCTTGCACACCTTCTGGTGAGGCATGCTTCTTTACTTGCTCAAACTGCTTTTCTAAAGCTCTGAGATGTGGTTGATGACTTTTTATCTCCTCTTGTAAAGTCTAAAATATAATCAAATAATTTTGTACTATTAATCATTTTATTTTCACTGCGAAAATATTTTTTTTCTTCAAATAATAAATATCATAAGTAGATTTTTTGGAGATATAGTTTTAAATTGTCCTGTCTTTTATATTCTTTATGTGTAAAAGGAATATCCTGCATTAAAGTTTTAGATCAAAATAAAATTTATCAATAATGGTGAAACCGGTTCAAACCAATTCCCTTAGGACTGTGGAGTTTGTTCAATTTAGACAGGTATTTGCCTTAATCAGGAATTCAATGAACAAATTCATTTAATGCCCTGAAACAAGAGTTCAGTCTTACTGTTTTTACTTTTTCATATTTTTTACCTTAAAAATTTTGGTAATTGTACTTTAGACAAGTTCGTAATTTTTGTTTTTGAAACATACCTTTCCAATAGCAAGTTCATGCTCAAGAACTTGAACATCAGTTGAATGTAAATTGGGTTCTTCAGCAAGTCGTCCCTGTAGTTTGTCAAGAACCTCGTCAAAGTTGCTGATCTCTTGATCATAGGCAGCCCATGCACCATACATCTTCTCCGCCTTATGACTACGGTCTTCTGAAGAACTGATGATGTCATTCCATCTCATCTGTAGGTCCTCTATCTCACGAGGAACATTGGGTTGGTCCATCAGGTAGCCTGCTTCTGTGTTTAATTTCTCAAAGATTGGGAGCTGTTCTTCACATTCTTTTACAAAAGACTGAAACAAGAAATTTAACCATATTTTTAAAAGCCCTCGATTCCATTTTAGGACATAATCATGATAATATAATCTATTTTAGGACATAAAAATTATCTGGTAGCTTTTAAGTACATACAAGCATCCATTAAATAATGTATCTTCTTTTGTACCAGATTTGTAATTCATTCAGATCGATATTATATGCCACTTGCAATTTGACAAAAAAAATCAATTTATTTAAAACCATTTCCGTCCATTTCAATAAAATTCTATACAATTCATGAACTTTTCTCTTGCTATTTATCAGTTTGTTCAAACTGTAGTCATTATGCAAAATTACAACAAAACAGTTTGGAATGCTATCTATCACCTCTACCCCAAGGCTTCCAAAACGGTCATATATTCCGGACATTTGTATAATGTCTGGTAAAAGTCCGGCTGGGCAAAGCATGAAACGGTCATCTACTTTTTAGTTTTCAAGGCTTTCTTAAGAGACGGTCATTTTAACATAATTCGCGATCTTTTTGCCCCAACCTTTTGCCTTTAACAGCCACACATTTCCGGTCATAAAAGTGACATGATCATTAAGTACTATCAAAACAACCCCTACTTTAATACCTTCTCATTTTAATCAAGGCTAATTAGTTGTTGAACAGCTGAAATTTACCTGTTCAGGTGACAGGTAAACTATGTTGAACCGGACATTGATCGGTCTATTCAAAGTTATTTTCTTACATTTCAGCGGTTTGCATCTAATTAATTTAGTCAAAAATATTTAAATTATCAGAAATACATTTACAAATATGATTTGATGAAAAAATTAAAAAGGTGAAATGAAAAATCGTCATAACCACGTTGTTTGAACCAGAGACATGTCTCTGTTTGAACTAGTACATGTGTGCGCAGGTGTGAAATTTAATTATGCATCCTAATTTCTTCAAAAAATTGTTAAATTGTCATTGATACCTTTATCTCACAATTATTTAGAATATTTTCTTGAAGAAATAAGGTAGAAAGAGCTACTGTAACTCATTCATGCTTTGCAAACATACACGGAATTTACGTATCCGTCTCTGGTCCATGTTTTACCATTGTCAAGATAACATCCGGTATTAGATTTAAAAACGAAAGTAAAGTTTTTGACAACATTATTTTGCACAAATAAAGAGTCTAAGGCAGATATAAGTATGCTGATGTTGCACACTTCGAATGATGCACTGCCAATTTAACAGTTTACGTCAGAACTTCGAATTTGAATCAAAGAAAGTTTAATATCATTTTTTTTTTAATGTCAATCATTGGGATGGCCAACTCGACAACTGATTACCATAACTGCCTTTTGTTTATTTAGTCTTAAGGGATTAAAATCGGGATAATATATAAAATGTCAGGCTGGCTTAAAATAATTTTGGAAGCTCTGCTCTACCCTCCTGAGCCCTAAAAGTCTTTTTAAAAGAAACTGTCATGTTAATAGAATTTATTTTCTGTATGCTTTATTCATTAAACTCCCCATCATTTCTCACCTGGTGAAGATTATATAAGTCCTTTGCTTCTTCCAACGAGGAACATTTAGGAAGTTCAGTAGCACAGTATCTTTGAGCTTTCTCCATCCATGGTAACAGTTGCTGGGACAGGTTCTGGTACATTTGCCAGTGAGCAACACTTCCTGTCAGGGCAGAACTTCTATCCTTAGCTCTGGAACACAGGTTTTCCCACTGACGTCTGACACTTGCCAGTTTTGTTTTGAGAGCTGATGTCTCCCTTGATCTGAAGTTTTGAGACAAGCCCCTTGCATCTTTTTCCAAATTATCTAATGTTACCCTGTTTTCATATACCTCTCTTGAAATATCCTGAAAAGCAAGAATACAAATGATTAAAAAGTAACTTTATTAAAAAAAGGTTATTAAAGAATTACTTTGAATTGGCAATTTAAAAGGCAAAATCAAACCGATCATGAAGATATGCAAATTCACTGTATTACAATTATACTTTCAAGAATCATACAAATTTTACTCAGATAATCTAAAAGCCTACAAGTTATAAACATCATGCTGCAACTTGATACATCATAAAACAAACATAAATACAAAAAAAGACAAAGTTATTTTTTGCAAAAAATTCTGATAACATTCAAATCAATGATCCAAATAAAACAAGGGAATATGTATTAGATAATCGCATTGTTTAAAGTTAAACTTTTTCAAACCATTCAAAATTGTGAAATTCTAAAATTAAACTAAATTTATCAATGTGTTGCAAGATTTAAAACTTCTGCTCTGTTCTACAATCAGTACAAAACAGAAAAACAAGGCAAGGTTAACTGGAAAATGATAATAGCTTACATTTGCTTTGTCCAGCTGTTCTTCAGGCTGGGCAGATTTGTTTTCAAACACATCATTGAGATTTGACTCTTTGGTATTTAACCATTCACAGAAGTTATTAAGTCTCTTGTAATATTCAGTCCATTTGGCGATTGTTGCTTCCAGATCAGCCAACTTAGCATTAAGTCTGGTGGAAACATTGTCAAGTCTTTTGTCTATTTCAGAGATCTCCACTTTTAATGGTCCTTTCCTCTCACGACTAGCGCCCTCTGCCAAGACAGCATTTAACTTTTGCATGTCATTTATACTGCCTTTCAATTTGTCCAATGTTCTTTGAAGTTCCTGTAAGCATGGAAATTGTAAGATTGAATACTGGTCAAATACTTCATTCAATAATATCTCCCAATTAAATATATCAAAAAGTATTCCAAAAATAGTTAATATATTCAAGATGCTATTTCTGTTTTCTGGGAAACACTGATTCTAAGAAAAACATTTGGAAAACCAGACATACTAATTAACCTTATTTTGCCTATTCACTTGTCTTTTATTAAAAATGGTTTAATATTCTTGATTATCATTAAAAGCTTATCATAATGCAAATGATAAAACCAATTTATGAATTGTAAAGAAGATTTTTGGAAAACTTTCAAAGTTAGGTAGAGTTACTTCCCTTCCGACATAAATAAATATTACTTATCTCTGATAAACATCTATAAATATGTTCTTACTGTGCGTTATCATTTGATTTTTATCTAAGTATATTTACAGACATCTGATACATGAAATACATCAAAAATCAATAAAATTACTTTTTTTTCACATATTTACTTATATTCTACTTACTCTTTTAGATTGCAGATCTTTCTCGGCTAATTCTTGTCCTGAGGTTGCAGGTGGTTTTTCAAGTTCAGCTTCAGCTTTCTTGAGTAACTGTATGCAGTCTGATTTAGATTTTTCATAATTTTCCCATTCTTTTACTTTTTGCTAAAACATCAAAAACACATTTAAATCCCTGGATAATCATAAAAAGTAAACTTCCATAATTTAAATCCCTGGATAATCATAAAAAGTAATTTCCAAGATTACATTCAAATTATTCTAAGCATCAATCTTGGTAATTCTGGATATCATAAATTGCCATATATATATATATTTTTTTAAATTGGTAAAAAATGAAATACGATGATGTATTAAAAAAATTCTTTGCAATACACAAATATGTCATTAAATCCTCAATAATATCTACACAATCTTCATGTAAACATATTGGTTTTGTCAGTTAACATAAAATCATTCAGCTTTTACTATCTCAAACACACCAATAAAATTGATGTATTCCAACCTATAATCTATACTCTAAATCATGATTCAGTTGAAGTACATTTTGTATATAGACAATCAAAATAACTGTTAAAATTTAAATTCCATCATAACTTTTCACTTTTCCGATCGAATATTTTTAGACTTCTTATTATCTTTCATGAACTTCAGTACATTTTGTTTATAAACAATCCCAATCACTGTTCAATCTGGGACTAAAGAAGTCCAAAGTTAAAATCCTAACTGTTCACTTTTTCAAATCTTAAACCTTTACTTCTTATTATCTTACATTCTGCAGAAATACATTTTTATGTATAAACAACTCAAATATCTGTTCAATTTCTAGTCAATGATAAGTGTTCATTTATCTATACAAAAGATAGTAAAGGTTACTAATTAAGTATGAAGTTTATCTGTAGATCCTTACCATTTACATGAAGAAGTAAACAATGTCATGTGGTATAAAAATAACATTTTTATCCTTGGCATCAGCAACAAAACAAGGGTGTATGTATCAATATGTGGTTGGAATTCTCAAATGTCCAAGTTATTTTACCTCTATCAGGTAAGTAATGTTAACATGCTTTTAAATAATAATTTCGTAACCTCTTAATTAACTCTCAACTTAGATCATTTTTCTACTTAAAATAATTACAGGAATGATTTATGAGGACAGAAGTAATCAACAATATTTAAAGCATCATTTTATGTTTTTTTTTTAAATCTATTTTCATGCATACTGACACTTAATCTCAAGGCATTTGGAATATAATTAAAAACAATAACAAAAATAAATCATAACGCTATACCAATCTGATTACTAGTTCTTTGATCTCTTTGAACTCTCAAAACTTTTAGATACATTTTTTCACTTCCCTTTTGGTTTACTAAAACGTTCTACTAGTACTAATTTCTGAGCAGAGAGAATTGTTGCAAAAAGGTAATTCTGTTTTCACTATAAGATCAATAATCAAGATGGAAATTAATCGAATGAAAAAATCAGCCAACTTCGGTATTTATCTGTTTTCTGCTTAACCAAGCTCCTTCAGCAGATTTCTTATTTCCTATTGTCTTATAGACTTCTATTAAGGTCCAAGTATGATACCTACCTTCAATTTCTCATGTTTCTGTTTAGCTTTTTCATTTGTATCCTTCAACTTTCTATCTAATTCCTCCACTGTTTTTGAAACAAATGCAGGAGCATTTCTATCTTTCTGGAGACGCCTTCCAGCATCAATATCTGCTTGAATCCTAGCACCTTCGGTACCTAGTTTCTTTAACATGTTCTGAAACAAGATCAAGCATTGTAATTGTACAAATACAAGCAGTAAAATGGACAGCAAATTCCAAAATTAACATTTTTAAGAGTTTTTCTGTAAATTAGTGATGGGGTGACATATCAATTTTTTGTTTAAATTCACTAAAATAAGGGGAAAACAATAGATCAATATACATAAATACAATTAGTATGGTACACATGCAAACAGTCGATGAACAGGGAATAAAAAACAGAATTTTTTTTAAAACTTTTTCTGTATTTTAGTGATGGTGGCATATTACTTTTTGGATATACATTCACTAAATTAAGGTAAAAAAAAACATAGATTACAATAAATAAATCATCTCTCTTTTTACCAGAACTTCTCAATAAAATCTTTTTCAACCAAAATTTCAAGGTGTTTAGAGAAATTATGCCTGAACCTAGTTCAGAATTTAATTTAAGACAAAAACTTATTAAATGACATTTTAACTTTTTCTGTCAATTTTCATTTATTCTATAGTCAAAATCTCATGATTTGCATCAACTAATATTTTTCCATGTCAACTGTAAATAAATTTTAATATAAGTTTGGAAAAAACAGAAAAGGAAACAACTTTTTTCGAAATTGAAAACCATGTGTGGAGGATTAGCAAAAATAGTAGACCCAATTTTTTTTTTTAATCATAAAAAATCCTGGCTATTGGCATTAAATTTCAAAATCTAATCATGCTACACATATAATTGTTTACACTCTTGAAAAACCAAGTCTTCCTAACACAGATTCTAAAAATAGAACAACATCAGCAGAAATACTAAGTATTGATTGACAGATTCTAAACACGTAAAAGAGAATTCTTGAAAATTAACAGTTTCTCTTTACACAAGTTCAAACAGTTTAGAGGATTTTATGTTATTCCTGGATGAGCTAATCTACACCAAAAGAACAGGATACAGAACCCTTTTACCTAGGTTACAAGTACACAACTCTGATCTAATTTTATTTTCCAGTCTATTGTATCAACATCAAAGATGCTACAGTGATTTGATTTTCTTCACAAATCCCTGCTATTCTATCAAGGTTTTTTGTCCAACATCTCAAAATATTCATTCAACATTTTTTACAATTTTGCAAATGAAATGATATACCTGTTAAAAAGTTATTTTCAATTTGAATTTTATCAACTATTTAAATCGTTGTAATGCAATCGCCTTAGTATTGCTCAATAAAAGCAGTTTGCTTCATTCGGGTAACTTGACCATAAATTGTTATGAAATCTATTTGAGAAATTTGGTTTTCAGCACCTGACATTTTGTTTTTCATAAGATCTCAATAAAATTGAAAAAGAATTGACTGATTTAAGGCATATTGGATTAAAACTCATATGGTTTTATTAATAACAAATTTATTATCCTACCATTGACTCAATTTTTCATAAAAAAGGCATATTCATTATTTGAAGCTACACACCAAACATTCCACATAATTTACAGGTGCAGGCAAAAAGCTTGAGATTCTGAAGCGTGAATCTCAAAGTGTTTACATATTCATTCATTTATTTATAGCCAACAACAAGTAAACATTAAAAAGATAGAAAAAATTAAAATTAAAAATAATAACATTTGGAAAAATAAAGATAAAGAATGAATTGAATATTTAGAGATGTTTCAGAATTTTGTTATTTTTGTGAAGACACTCAAGCCAAAAAAAAAAAAGACAAAATCCGTCTAGCAACAAGACAACAAAATGCAGTTAGTAATTCAACTAGATAATTCTCTCATATTCTGATTATGTAAATCAACATGCAAGCACAAACATATAAATAAATTAACTAATTTTCAACATGCTTTGAACTGATATTATTCTAATTATGCATTTTTCACTGGCTAAAAAATCTTTAAGACTTTTTTTGCTAGAAATATTGCTTTGTTCTAAAATCATTATCAACACTTTGAAATTATTAAAGGATTAATGAGTTAGCCGAGTTTGAGAAACTTTGTTGAATTACTAAAAGCGAGAAACACACTTAGCAAGGAGAGTATAGGAAGGGAATTGTGAAAGAAAATCGTCACCATATTTATACTAACATCTCCCTAAAACACAAAATGTACATGCATTACCCTGTGTTCTTACTGAAGGTAAGCTAAATCTCAAAACTAAAATTTATACAGTTTTGTTTTCATATCATCTCAAACTAATTTGTTTTTAATCTTAAATACGGAAACAAATGGAACTGGCTGTTTCAGACTTATTACTTTTAAGCCATTTAATATTATTCTTTACAGCAAAACATATCTTATCTTACAAGTTTTTACAAAGAAATCCCCACATATACTCTTGAATTTTCAGACATAAATCTAAAAAAAAAATGGCTTCTACGTTGAAATTAAATAATTTCCTACGAACTACTGCAGCTAACCTATGCAGCAATGAGCAGCTTAATCATAACAATTTTTTAAAACACTAAAAAATCTCAAGACATTTTAGTATCACAAACAACAAGCAAAGATGACACACCATTTTTAGTTAAAACATCACATCAAACACAACACTCCTCCTTACCTCATGTTCACCGAGATAAGCTCTAGCATCTTCAAGACCATCTATAAAAGGATCCTCATTTACAAGTCTCTGAGCTTCATCTAACCAGTCAGAGCGCTTGTGTAGTTCATCCCTGAAGTCATAAGCCTTTGAGAAAACAGCAGATTTATCTGTTACGCTCTCCATACCAGGCTGAATAGACACAAATTGGCCCATTAGATCCCGTAACTTTCTTCTCTCTTCGTCAGCATCTGCCTCTGGAGAGTCTTTCAGAAGTTCCTCCAAGTTGTCTTCTAACCATTGGCCATCCTCTGCAAGCTTATTCATGTCTCGCAATGCTTTCTAAAAAACAAAACATTATCTATCAAAAAAATTGAATAATTTACAATTCTATTTTATCAATTTTTTAAATATTTATTTTCTCTACTTCTTTTGAATATTTTTTTCATTCAACATTAATTTGACTTTTGATTAAAAAATTAATCGTTAAAAGTTGATTTAACTTTTTATTTTAACTATTGATTAAAATCTTAATCATTAAGAGTTGTGATAACAAAGTTGAATTGAAATTTGTTTTTTTTGCCATTCCATGCTGAAAGAAAGTTGCAAGAGTTAACTCTCTTTTATCAGATCCAATACTTACCTGGTATTTATTTTGTAAATCCTTGTACTCCTCACTAGTGAGATCCTCTTGTTGTAAGGCTTGCATCAGATCATCAACATGCTGCACTGCCTTTTTAAATTCATTCATTCTGTAAAATAAATAATAGTTTATCACTTATATAAAATTATATCAAAAATAGAAAAAATACTCAACTACAAACACTATTAGTAAATGCCAGAGTACATCTTGGTTTTGATGTTTTGTGTGGGCACTTGAACTCATTTCAAGATATTTTAGCCTCTGTCAAGATGAAGAGCAGCAATAAAAGTTGATGTCTACTTTTACATACAGGTTTTTGCAAGTATTTCATGAAATTCTTGTTTTATACTAGCAATATGGAAATAAGGAGATGCAAAAAACTAACAGGCACAGTACAGCCTTCAACAATAAGCCAAAACCATACCATAGAGTATTTCTAGGAATTTTAAAGTCTATGTTTTAATATTCACACCAATTAACAGTACACTAGACAAGCCAACTTACTTTTGATTATATTCCTTCCACCTCTCTGGAAGTTGTTTGAGCTGCAGATGGATATTTTCCATGGCTGCATTAAGTTTCCTCCACCTGTCTATATGGTGGTCATATCTGTCTTGTAAATTGTGATCGTTTCTGTCGAGTTGATGTAAGTTCTTAGTGAAGGACTCCATGTCCTCCAAACATCTGGTACATGTAGGTACAAATGGTCCTTGGGCGAACATTTGCTAAAAAATAAAGCAAAAATAAAAAAATTGTATGCGTAAATGGCCATTTTAAGTCAAATTTTGACATGTGTATGACATCAGTGTAACATCACAAATGATATTTATGCAATATAGCGACCTAACTTTATCATTGAATTAACCTCACCTATCAATAAAATGGACTAATTTTCAAAGAATTGATGAACTTCACAATGGTTCACAATCAAGGGTTAAATATTGATTTTTATTGTGTTGTAATTTTTTGCTATTTTCCTGGTAAGATTTAAAACGCCAAGAGGAAACTTGCTTCATAGAACAAAGATCTTACAAGTATAAATACAAACCTGAAATCACCAATTAAAAGCTGTATAAATTCAAATTCTGTATGCAAATCATGAATAAATATCTAGAATTAAATTTGACACAAATATTTCTTAGTTCACAGAGTTTTGATAACAGTTAACTTACTCTGTGTTTCTGTAATGTCTGTTTAACATTTTCATTTCTCTGTAATTGTTTTTGTTCCTGTTGAAGTGTTTTCTCAGCATCGTCAACTTGTTCTACAAAAATCTCCTCTGGAAGACGGAATTCTAGTTTCACCAATTTGATTGGCGCGGATGCCTGTACGTTCTGCAAGGAAATACAAACCACATAAATGAGCATCAATACATACACAGTTTTAGTAAATATTAATTCGAACTACTGGAGCTGTGGATTTATTGTTTTAGTAGGTTACAAATTTTCATGGATTTCTTTGGTATAGGCGAACCACAATTTCAATGTTCGATGAAATAATAATTTGCTATAGGATTGTATGCAAAATTTACCAAAACCTGAAAATCCAATATCTACATGTATGAAAATACAATATACCTTCAATCCACGAATATTGGTATCCATGAAATTAAATGAATCCACTGTAATGGAAACTTTGAAGAATTTGTTTAATTTTTACTTGTCCAAGTTTTTGGCTTTAAAAATAAATTTGACAAAGTCAAACAATTTATCATTTTTTTCCCGCCAAAATATGACTAACTGCTGCTAGAACTACACAGAAACAAAACCAAACAGCACATGTACTTACAGTTGTTCACTGAATTCCCCCTAAACTGTCTTACTTTATTCCAGGGTTGAGTAAATTCCAAAAAAATATACCACAATTCTGAATTCTATCAAGATTGATTCCAGCAACATCTCACATCACAGTTTTTTTAAATGTATATGGGTTTCTTTCAATATTGATTAAACAGAACTGGTATATTCCATTTTCATCATTCTATTGGCAGAGTATTCCCTGCAACTTGTGATTCAACTTTGGTTCAGTGCATCAAAGACTGGATATATTCCTGACACCATAAAAACATGCAAACTTCATGCAGAAGAGTCAAGAGTAGTGCTTTTGGTTACATGAAGTGCGAGTATACTCAAACTTGTGCAATAAGATTAACATCCAGTTGTGAAATACTAAGAGCTGCATCATACACAGAAAAAATCCGAAGGTTGTTTCGAACAAGATAAAGACACGAAAGAATAATTACGCAATTATACATTGAAAAAGCTGAAACAAAATTTAGAATTTATGGAGAAAAAAAAAAACAAAAAAAACAATACAGAAAAGCATGAAGACAGGAAATATAAAGAATATAACAGTTATTTAGGAAGTGCAAAACCTCAAACAAAATAAGGACTATAAAACCTACCTTCCACGTTTCTTGCATGGAAGCCATGTCTTGCTGTAGTTCTGATTTATCCCTATCATCTAGCACCATTAAAATATCTTGACCGGCTCTCAAATAGTCATCTATTAATCGTTTGTCAATTTTATTAAAGAAGCCTTTGTGTTTTCTGATTAAGCTATCAGAGTCATCTTCGTTGTCGTTGAGTACAGTCTGAGCTTGCTGAAGCCAACTGGCAAGTGCTTGTTCTTTCTGTGAGTAGACACGCCAAAGACGAGACAGATTATCCAATTTTTTCTCCCAGTCTTTAGCTCCCGAAATGCAACTCTAGAAAAAAAGAAAATTGACTTTGTATTACTTATTAAGATTAAAAGCTGTTTTTTGTTTGGGCTTCATTTTCACTCTTCTTTTTTATTAGTGCCACAAATTTATCTCAGGAAACTTAACAAAATCAAATTGAAGTTATATGTAAAGGTCAAATCTGTATTAAGCAGTCACTCTTGGGAAGTATCAAAAGTGACCGCTCAAGAGAGGTGACCTGTAAAACGAGGTTTCAAAAAAAGTCTAATTCCGACATCACCCGTGACCGGGATCGGGGCAAATTGTTTTAGTATTTCCAATCATCAGAGTTATCATCCTTGCGAGCAGTCAAATAAAATATGGTGAATTCTGGTGCTGTAAATGTTAATATTTGTATAACTCTGGGGTAAGCCATATATATCTATTAGTATACCTAAGGCACCACATTACAGATAAAACAATGACTATACAATTATTTTCTCAATCTATTTATAGTGAGCCTATATATACTATCTATATTTTTTCCCTTTCTCACATTCAATCATTCCACTGGTTTCAAGCACCCAGGTTACAACACAAAAATAGTGATGCATTGAAATTACTGTACCTGCCAATGTCCAAATTCTTCAGAACAATGACAAATAGAACTAGTCTTACACATTTTTTGTCTATATTATATAATCTAAATACATACCTGGAAGCGTGCAGTTGTTTCCTCCATTGGAATATCAACATCATCAAAATTGACATTCTTTAACTTGGGTTTGGTAGATGTGACTTTCTGATGAACTTTGTTTTTACTTTCAACAATGGATTTTTGGTATGTTGTTTCAGAGAAGAATTGCTGCAATAGGATAATATGATTAATTTAGCAATATAACATGTAATGCTGTACAATAAAAGAGACTGATAATTAAAAATACTTTTTGTATGAAGCGCCTATTGCTGTTTCTTTACAGAAAAATTATCATGTGTTTAATTACAACATTAATAGGTATCCCTCACAATTTTGCATTAAATCTCATATGGTGTCTCAATGCTGATTTAACAAGAGATTTCAGGACTGTGCTAAGTTATTGAAATTTACATGAAATCATTCTGTAACTATACTGATTAATTTTGTGAAAACTAACTGCATATTCTAAGCCTTCATGATATTGACATTCAAAAAAATGATTGATATTGAAATTTTGCACTGATGAATGAAAGGCTTATTTCTCAAATTTACATTTATAATTAACCCGAATAATTCAGTCGTTATATTCCACTGCTCTACGATGGCTACATTAACGCCTGAAGGCCTTGTCAATAAAAAATCGTCAAATAATCATTCAGAATTAGCTTGTGATTTACCTATCTCGATAACATTGAGCTATTAGCTGATTGGCTCTCTCTCACAGAGAGCACCAATCAAAATCCTGGATTCGTGACACGTTTTTATTGTATAAAGAATTCAGGCCCTTGAGAGTGGGAGAGTCGATCACGGGGAGGGACTGAATTATTCAGGTTAATTTATAATCAGAATAAAAAAAAAATATCTAACAAGTCATCAATTAGATACATACCTTGTGTTTCTCAAGGCGTTCTTCAACAGCTCTTTGGTCACCGTCTAGTTTGTGTGTAGCTAACAATGCCTCGCCTTTAACCAGCCAGGCATTCAAATCTAATATTCCAGTTTCTAAAGATTCTACATTAGGAAGCACAGCTTTGAGGTATTTAATTCTTTCTGGGATTTCTTTACGAAGTCGAACAATGACTTCTTTTTGTACATTTAGAGTTTGTAACATTTCGTTGACCATTGTCTGTTCTGTATCCTTGACTAGTGACTGCGCTGTTTTTGTGGTCACTTTAAAATCATTTTCCATTTCTGCTACTTGAGTTCCACAAAGCTGAAATTCAGAGCAAAACAATAACTTTACTATTAGCCTGTTTATAAGTCAGCAGATGTATTCAAAATTCAAAATGTAACTAAAATAGCTAAATGTTATATTAATATCTAAAACATGTTAAATAACTCTGAAAAAACATCATTAATATTCGTTGTCAAATTCAGAGCATAAAAATGAAACTTAATGATCTATTTTAATGTTTAATAACTGATTGGGAAAATAAAAGCTGCTTTTTGTATAAATTTTATATTGAAGGAAAAGAGCAAACATTTATCCATGCTAGTCTGCACACTTCAGGTCATGCTGTCAAACAGGCTCAGAGAATATAACATGTCTGAATTTTGCACAAGAAATAAAGAAAAACAGTGAAATATTCTGGCCCATTTCATTTTCACTTGTATTATTAAATCTAGTTGGACAATTTGTTTGAAAATGAGGAGGTTTTCAACTTGGAGACAATTCAAATTTAAAATTGCTTGGATACATGAGAGAAGAAGTAGAACAAATGCAGTTTCTTATCAGACAGGAGACAATTACAGAAATAAATGCTTTGTCACAAGTCTTTCAAGTTGCATAATACAAGATTTATCTAATGTAAATGTTCACACATTACATAATTTTGCTAATGAATAAATATATATTTATATGGTTTTTCATTTCCAGTGAAACCCCATGCAAAGTGTCAACTGTCTTCGATAATTAATCATGCATGTACATTCCTTAAAATCCTCAATGTTTTCCCTCCAAAAGGAGACAGTTTTGAATAATGCAAGATTTCATGCTCAAATGTCTATACTTCACAAAGAATAATTGGTTTTCAGATTAATAAATCAATCCTTTGGATATAGAATTTTTTTGTTAGATATATATGTATCAAGGACCACTTGATTTATGAACTTACATCGGAGTTATCCTGTTCAAATGTCTGGATACACAAATACAAAGTTATTCAACAAATGTATAGCAATTTGATAATAAACAGCTGCACCATGAGCGCATGATACGCCCGTCACATTTTCAAAGAATAAAGTTCAATTACTTCTCAATGTCATATTAGAAATTTATGAAAATCATAAGGGAGCTTACATCAATAGATATAAACAATTCACTTCATGAGAATTGCTGAAAGCATTTTTGAGTTAATGTCTGAAAACTGGAAAATCCCCCTTTTTTAATGAATAAAACCCCATAACTCAAAAATGTAAAATGTAAAATTTATAATATTCTAAAGGGAGCTTACATCAATAGATATATACAATTCACCAAAGTTTCATGAGAACTGCTGAAAACATTTTTGAGTTATTGTCAGAAAACTGGAAAATCCCCCTTTTTTTATGAATAAAACCCTGTAACTCGGAAACGTATAATCTAAAATTTATAAAAATAAAAAGGGAGCTCATGTCAATAGATATAAACAATTCACCAAAAGTTCTTGCAAGTTGGTGAAAGCTTTCTTGAGTTATTGTCTGAAAACTGGAAAATCCCCCTTTTTTAATGAAGAAAACCCCATAACTCGGAAACGTAAAATCTAAATTTATAAAAAACAAAAGGGAGCTCACGTCAATAGATATAAACAATTCACCAAAGTTTGATGCAAATTGGTTAAAGCGTTTTTGAGTTAATGTCCGACATGTTGACGACGGACAGACGAACGGACTGACAGACGGACAACGGAAACCATAATACGTCCCTTAAGCGGGCGTATAAAAACAAGCACTTTTTTTTTTAATTTAAACAATCAAGTACACTTTTTCTCCCCCTTTTTTTAAGACCTTTTTCATAATTATCTAAAGCTTGCCAAAAAACACTCTGATTCTAATAACAAAACACATTTCTTAAATTTTCACAAACTTGCTCTGGTATGTTCTTATGGTCTTATAAGCATGTTCCCAAGGTCTTTTGTCTATACTCTCTGGCATCTTAAGCTATATCTAAGATGTAAGATAAATCTCACGCCTTACGACCCTTCATTGACCTTGATGTGTACATCATATAAGTGGGTTACTTCCTAAAAACCAAATTCCACAGTTTCGAGAGTAACTTGGACACATAAAAGCTCAACTCTGAATACACTTATCTACAAAAAGGCTAAAATTTGACATTCATGAAAAGAGAGATATACCATGTTACTCAAACCCCTTTCCCCCACCCCTTTTCCAAATTACAACAACATACATATTTTTCTGTCTTAAAATCACTTTATTTGCAAATCCCTTTCAGTTTTTACAGCTTTTTTTTAACCTTGGTAATTTTCAAACCCACCAGCGAACTTTCTTATCATGCAACTCTTTCTACTTACATCTACATCCTGTAAATGGTCCTTCAATGCAGCATGTTTACATGGAACTTCAGTTGCCAATAATTCCTCAGCGTTTTGTAACCACTGTGATATTCTATCCACTCCTAGCTGATATTCTTGTCTCCCCTTTCCTATAACTTCTACTTTCTTATAGTGTTGATATCCTTCCACTAATTCACTAAATCTACCGTTAATCATATCAAGGTTTTGTTTAATTTCTTCAGCAATAGGTTCTTGACAATTTTCTATCAAAAAGTTTGCAGATTTGTTTAAAATTTGAAGTCTTTCTTCATACTGTGGAATTTCGGTAAAATACTCCTCAATTTGTTCTTTTGTTCCACCATGCATGACTTGTTCACCTTCTGTGATCCATGCAATTAACATATCGTAACATCCGTTATATCGTTTCCACTGCTCTAATCCCTCGTCAAACATAGATTGTAAAGATTTAATATCTGCAGACATTGTTTTCCATTTTTGTGTTTCTTCATCAGCAAATTGTGTAATCTGTGCAGCTTCTTCCTTTGCTGTAAACAAAAAATAATCAATTAAACTTTTGAATTCTAAACAAAAATATGTGATTATAGCTCATTAGTTCAAAGATGGTCACCACACCTGACAGTCTCTATAATGCTGTTGGTCTTTATCATATATACAGAAATAATTTCATTGTCAGTCACATATTTGATACATCAATTCAATTCTTTATTACTTTGAACAATACAGTTCATCAGTATAGTATGCGTACATATACAATTTACAAGTTGTATAGAGTCAACAAAAACAGAAATAATAAACGTCAGAAATATCAGTCACATGTTAAACAGTTTGTGAGTTTCAAAAACATACAATATAAATATGACATACATATATATATATTTGCTATTCACGGTTGGTATTAGTTTTATGTATAGTCAGAGTACATAAATGATTTATTTTTCGGTTGAACAGAGTAAATTAAGAAAATAACTACAAATACTTGAATGTGATTGGTCTACTCAAATTATTTTCCTTGGTTTACTCTTCAATATCTCATATTGCCGAAACGATTTTCGTAAACTATGTATACACTTTGTTGATTTTCCTGTGATATATATACATTTGGGATACACATAAAAAGAATCCTGCGGATCCAAGAAAGTTCAAATCGAAACTGATGTTTAGATTGAGAATTCATGTATAAGGATTAAACACATTTTTTTTCTAGAGGCCATTTAGAAGAAATGTTAGAATTCTCAAAGTTGACCTTAAATAACTATTCAACAGTTTTCTGTTTGCTGTTAAAATACTTACAGACATGTCTTCTGAAAGAATCACCTCTCTTTTTTGTCTCACTGAGCATCTTGTCATAGTTTGCAAATAAATTATTGGTCTGTACAAAGCCCTGCAAAAATCAAATATACAATATATTATATAAGCCTTTTAAATTTAAACCTCAAAATTTTTGATAAATCATTCGAGATAAGGCTAACAGGGAAGGGGTTACATTTACTCAAAAGAGGTCATCTGGTGATAACAAATATACATTTTTTTATTTTTTTTTTCTAATTTTTTTCTTTTTTCCAAATTTTAAATTTTGGAACTACTATTCGAACAAAATAACTTAAAAAAATGTTTTAACATTTTAACTGCTACTATTCAGCAAAATTTGAAACTATAAGTTAAACATATCCATTTTGTATTTCTTTATTCAGGTCAGAGGTTATATGATCAATGATCATGATGACATTTACCTTGTAATCCATTGCCATCTCCTCTACGTCCTCCTGTGTGCCTAACTTTGACAACCATATCTTCAGTTTTCCTTCTGTAGCTGTACTGAGTGCAGCAAGTCTGTATCTGAACTCATCATACTGTAGTACATTCTCTCGTTTTGGTGCCTCTTTACACACAACTTGTAATCTACTGTGTAAATTGTCCATTTGTGGCGGTGGGATGAATTCTCCTTCATATTTTCCTGCACGTTTTACTTGTAAGAAAAACTCTTTGTTTTGGTCCAGCTCTTTGAAAAAGTCCTAAAATTGGCAAAAGAACATGTTCATCAGAAAATTCTACAGCAGTGTCCAGAATAAAAAATCTAAAATTTGTCTCCCCTGATCTTTGTTTTAGGACATTTGTCAACACCATATTGTGATGTAGATAAATTTTAAATGTCTAATTTCACACAAAAAACAAACCAAAACTTTTCATCAAAATGAACCACATGAATTTTCACATGCAGTTATACCATTTCCCCCTATAAACTATTAACAAAATAAACAAAAGTCTTAAAAATACAATATTTAGTAAATGAACAAGACGCTTTGTTCCATTATGGAAGCTATCTATAGTGAAAACTGTTTGGCCCAAAAACAGCAAGAGCTGACATTAGTTCAGATGTACATTGGCTGTTTCGTGGATCCCACATCCCTTTTGGATCATCCTACTATCACAACTTGCCATTTCTGTGCATGTATAACAATTATGACAATAAACTACATTACATGTATTTGGTCATATTGCTACCAAGCAACTAAGAAAATGAATTATCAAATACTGGTACAGTGACTTATCCAAAAGTCAGCTTATGGAAAGCGACAGTTCTCAATAAAAATAATGTATTTTTAATATTTATTTACCGGTATTAATGTGAAGTCAATGACAAATATTAATGACCACTTAGCAAGTATGTCACAACAGTAATTCTATTATAGACAGCTGTATAGCAAGAACCTGTCTTCTTTAAGGTAAACAGTAAACATACCTTGTGTTCATTCAACAGTTTAAGAATTTGATCCGCCATTTCTATATAGTCTTCTCGTTGTTCAGGTTCAATCTCTAACATTTCCTCAGCTTGATTTAACCAATCACCAAACTTGCCAAGACGACCTGGTAGACTAGCATCAAGTTTCCATAACCACATACGAGTACGTCTAGCAATGTCTCGCCATTTGGGTTCCAATTCCTGCCACATTTTGGGAGTAATTTTTACGGCTTTTTTGTTCACTACTTTCTCCTCTAACCTCTGGTATATTTTCTGTCGTCTGTCAAATTCTGTTTTAAATGCTAAGTAGTCCTGAAATAAAAGAATTTACTAGGTAAACAACCCTGGATTGAACTTTCCATCTAATACTGTAAACCAACTAATTTTCGCAACTTTTGGGTGTATATAAAATAACGTGATATGAATATAAAATGTCGCAAAAATTACAAAAGAGCATCTTCTTTTATAAGAATACATCATGAAAATTAGGAAATCATGAAAATAAATTGTCTCGAAGTTGGTAAGAAATAAAAGTATCCCCAAAAATTAGTTAACTTTCAGTAAACCAAAAGGAATCACTTATCATCAGAGAAAATAAATTTGAACAGGGGACTTTCTTCTAGAATAATCCTGGTATCTTGTTGAAAAATACATATCTAAAGACCACATCAACTTCACATTATACTAAGGTATGAATTTCAGCCTTCACTCTGCATGATTACAAATATTTATTCAATGCACTTGGCATTAGTGGCTAGTTTGCCAATCGCTTATTGATCATTGGTTTGTCTCCCTTTACCTTTACTTCATGAAGTCATTATATTCCTCAACATAAAAAAAAAAATCAAATCCAAAATATGTAGAATGTCTCACAAAATTACTACCATAAACAACAGACCAAATCAAAATCTTCATACATTTTCCAAACAAATTTGTTATTCATGCTTTGATTAGTTTTAATAGGTAATATTTGCACAGATGACTATGTCGCCACTTTCAAGTAGATGTTCAATTTCTGGAAGAACTTACCATATATTCTGCCTGTCTGTCTGTAACTGGTTGGTCTACGATCTGTAGAAGCTCATCAGCTTCCTCCTTAATCCATGTCATTAGATCATTGTAATCGGATATTTCTTGTTCTGCTGGGTTTTTCCTTTTGGATAGCTAGAAAAAATATGCATTTTAATTAATTTGAGAAAAAAGTTTAAAACAGCTTTAAAATAAATTTACTGTTAAAACTCCCTAAAAAATAAACTGTTTAAGCTACTGTATTTCTATAAAAAGGAATTTAAGAGACGGAAGTTGCAATGTATTTAATATAAAAAAAATTCTATTAAAAAAACTTATCTTTGTAAAAATTTAATAAAATGCTTCGCTGGGGCGCAGCTTGATACGACCGCAGAGGTCGAACCCTGAACAGTTGGGGCAAGTATGGACACAACATTCAAGCTTGATACAGCTCTGAATTTGGATTGTTATTAAATATTTGACACAGCATAGGTTTCTGACACAGAAAGAATTTTGTCTAAGAACTTGAATTTTTTTAATTTACCTATTATGGTACAATGTCCAAAATCAAAATACATGGTTAGATTCAGCATATCAAAGAACCCCATATATTCAATTTTTGTTAAAATCAAACAAAGTTTAATTTTGGACCCCAACTTGGACAAACTTGAAAACTGGGCCCATAATCAAAAATCTAAACACATGTTTAGATTCAGCATATCAAAGAACCCCAATAATTCAATTTTTGCTAAAATCAAACTAAGTTTAATTTTGGACCCTTTGGACCTTAATGTAGACCAATTTAAAAAACGGGACTTAAAATTAAAAATCTAAATACACGGTTAGATTTGGAATATCAAAGAACCCCAATAATTCAATTTTTGATGAAATCAAACAAAGTTTAATTTTGGACCCTTTTGACCTCAATATGAACCAATTTGATAGCGGGGCCCACAAATAAAAATTCTAAATTCATGGTTAGATTCAGCATATCAAAGAACCCCATATATTCAATTTTTGTTGAAATCAAAAAAAGTTTAATTTTGGACCCCAACTTGGACCAACTTGAAAACTGGGCCCATAATCAAAAATCTAAATACATGTTTAGATTCAGCATATCAAAGAACCCCAAGAATTCAATTTTTGTTAAAATCAAACTAAGTTTAATTTTAAACCCTTTGGACCTCAATGAAGACCAATTTAAAAAACGGGACCCAAATTAAAAATCTAAAAACACGGTTAGATTTGGCATATCAAAGAACCCCAATAATTCAATTTTCGATGAAATCAAACAAAGTTTAATTTTGGACCCTTTTGACCTCAATATGAACCAATTTGATAGCGGGGCCTACAAATAAAAAATCTAAATACATGGTTAGATTCAGCATATCAAAGAACCTCATATATTCAATTTTTGTTGAAATCAAACAAAGTTAAATTTTGGACCCCAATTTGGACCAACTTGAAAACTGGGCCCTATATCAAAAATCTAAATACATGTTCAGATTCAGCATATCAAAGAACCCCATATATTCAATTTTTGTTGAAATCAAACAAAGTTTAAATACTGGACCCTATCTTGGACCAACTTGAAAACTGGGCCCATAATCAAAAATCTAAACACATGTTTAGATTCAGCAAATCAAAGAACCCCAAGAATTCAATTTTTGTTAAAATCAAACTAAGTTTAATTTTGGACCCTTTGGACCTCAATGTAGACCAATTTAAAAAACAGGACCCAAAATTAAAAACCTAAATACACGGTTAGATTTGGAATATCAAAGAACCCCAATAATTCAATTTTAGATGAAATCAAACAAAGTTTAATTTTGGACCCTTTTGACCTCAATATGAACCAATTAGATAACGGGGTCCACAAATAAAAAATCTAAATACATGGTTAGATTCAGCATATCAAAGAACCCCATATATTCAATTTTTGTTGAAATCAAACAAAGTTTAATTTTGGACCCCAATTTGGACCAACTTGAAAACTGGGCCAAAAATCAAAAATCTAAATACATGTTAAGATTCAGCATATCAAAGAACCTCATATATTCAATTTTTGCTAAAATCAAACAAAGTTTAATTTTGGACCCTTTGGACATTAATGTAGACCAATTTGAAAACTGGACCCAAAATTAAAAATCTAAATACACTGTTAGATTCGGCATAACAAATAAATAAATGTGATCAAAGATTTTACAAATCTAATGCGCCATACTGTGCAATTAAAGATTACTTCTTCAAATTTTTCAATATTTGAAATTTGAAAAAAAAATAATATTTGAAGAATAATTCTTTTTAATTTCTGAAATCTGAAATTAGAAAAAATTGGCCCCCCACAATTTCTTTTTATCCCCCCCCCCCTTTTTTCCCAAAAAAATTCTTTCCCTCAAGATATGGTCATAATCTCAATTCAAATTTCCAATGGAGTTGGCAACCATAATTACCCATTTAAATTTACCATAGTGCTAACTTAATCTATTTTATAATAGAATTAATAAAAATATAGTGTCAAATCTTTCATATGGATTTTTTTGTAAAAAAAAAAGATGAAAACATTTGCAGATATTTTTACTGGTCTTCCTTTATAAATATGCATTTCTTAAAACATAATTTAAAAGCAGTGTAAGGGAAGTAACCAAAACGTTGTATTTGGATTACCTCCCTTACACTGTTTTAGATTATCTTTATTGTTCATTAACCATTACTTTATACATAATTTAAAAGCAGTGTAAGGGAGATAATTTCAATGATGTATTTGATTTATCTCCCTTACACTGCTTTAAATTATGTTTTGTACTAAAGTATTTGTCCATTAACCAGGACAACCTTGTTTTTCCCCCTTTTTTGCCCCTAATTCCTAAACGGTTTGAGCCATAACCCCCCAAAGCAAATCCTAACCATCCCTTTGTGGTATGGAAACTCGTAGTATAATTTCAGAGAGATCCATACACCGTTCCACAGTTATTGTCTGGAAACTAGAAAATGCTTATTTTTGGCCCCTTTTTGGCCCCTAATTCCTTAACTGTTGGTACCATAACCCCCAAAATCAATCCCAACCTTCCTTTTGTGGTATTTAACCTTATGGTCAAATTTCAAAAAGATCCATTCACTTAAACTAAAGTTAGAGTGCGAAAACCAATATGTATTCGGACGACGACGACGACGACGCCAACGTCATACCAATATACGACCACAAAATTTTTTTGCGGATGTATAAAAACCAATTACTTCAAATTAAAAAATTTCTTTCTTTTTAAATTTTATAAGTTAGAAATTGATCGTAAGTTAAACCGAAATGTTCATGACTTTTGAGTATTTTTTCTTGTAAGATTTTTTATTAATTGAGACGGAGGAGATTCTGATATCAAACAATACTCAATTGAAAGACTTGACTTTGCAATTCCAGTTCATGACAATTATAATAATACTTTAAAAAGTCAAAAAAATTGTGAATTATAAATTTTTTAGCATAATAGATCAAACAAGTCACTAAATTAAAAGTACTTACACTAGGGTCCTCACCAGCCTCTGGGTAAGCCTTTAAGAATTGTGCAACGTAAGTCATGACTGATTTCTCGTCAGGCTTCTCAACATCAACGTCTGGAGAAAAAAAACACATAAATTTCAGCTGAATTTTACCAAAATGGGTTAAATAATCGCAGTACAAAGGTGCAGTTCAATACCAACTGGTAAATAAAAAAGAAATCGCAAGTATATATGTAAATGTTCTGTAAAATCAAAAGTAGGTGAACTGTTGTCTTTTGCATCAATCTTTAAAAAGTATTAAAACCCAATGTAAACAAAAGAGTCTATTTATTTGAATTTAAGATGTTTTCGACTTATTTAATTTTTATGGCCACTGTCACTATAAACATTGCATACATAGTTTTATATATTAAAGATTTGTTTAAACATGTAAAGAAATAAATGTGCAGAAATTAAAAGTTACACCCATATTTTGAAAGAAGATAATTTTTTTTTTTTCATATAAAATCATATTTCGTTTATACAAAGTGTACTAAAGTACATTATTTGCAAATCAACAGAATTTTAATATGAAATGTCACTTTGCTCATTTTCAAAGAACAGATAAATCATATGTATTATACAGGTTTCATTTTAAAACTTGTGTTAGGATTTTGAGTTGGACAACAAGTGGACCTCTGTTCTCAGGTATTTGGTTTATCACATCTGTCAACTTTGTAACCTTCGTTTTCTTAAAAATAACAAATATGAAGAGACAATTTTTGCTGATTTTTCTATTAAGAAAAATTAATGATTAAGCCTTAGGACCTCTATCCAAACAGCCATACAGTAAGGAATTTTATTTACCTTCTACCTCTTGTTTGAGGGCATGCCTTAGAACCTCTTTCAAAGCAGCCATATAGTTCAAACTAAACTTCAAGTCCTCATTTTAGAGTGAACCATGCAGAGCACTTAGTCCCAGCACATTACTGAATAGGATTAACGTGAGGCAATGTTTAAGCACAGAAGCCAGTTATTTGAGACTTTGACTAACCTACATGTCCACATTCTAGGTGCATGCCTAAAGCTACTCTATCCCTGCTGCTTATAATACTAACCTTCAGGGTCCAGTAGTCTTGCGATACCAAGTTGTGACTCTGCAACTGAGAATGCCTGCTCTAGATTAGTTTTAGCGCTCTGTTTCCTACATTGATCGAAGTCCACTAAGTCAGGGTTGATTGTGTGTACCATGGCATTAAATGCCAGGCCATCTCGCCAACTTTTGCCGAAATTATTAACTTCTATACCATATTTTCTGTAATGAAATGACATACATAACAAATGTGTCTACTTTATATTTTTTCAAATGTATCGGTCTTAACTGTTGTCAATACAATATAATTCTGTTCAAAGTGCTTATTCCAAATTTCAAATTACCAAATAGTGAGGAGAAGCTTCTTGAAAAAATTAAATTCAAGTTCAAGCAATGACTGTGGATTCATATTATTTGTGGAGTACCAAATTTCGTGGAATTAGTGAATATAGGTTAACCACAACACTTTTAACGAAGTTCAAATTCCACATAAGCTTATATGTGGAAACCATGAAATCAGATATCCACGAAAAAACATTTTATTCTCAATCCACGACAATTGGTACTCACAAAAATAAATGAAATTCACATTAGTACTTTTAATTTCTACTCTGCTTCAGCTTTAATTCATAGGTTTGCATTTTCATAAACTGTGGTATTACAACTTTCATATCATACAAGAACCTGTTAACATTTTGAAGCATGAGCCACCATCAATGGTCAGTAAGCAATAGGTAACAAGAGTTGAAATAACTTTAATATAGTTGAACACTAACCTTAACTATTTTATTTTTTTCTTATTAAAAGTAAATAAATAAAAGAATTGAATACGTTGATTGATTGATGTTTAACGCCACTTTCAACACTATTGTGCTATTTCCTGGCGGTCAGGTTTTATTGGTGGAGGGAGTCAGAATGCCTGGAGAGAACCACCGACCTTCGGCAGGAAAACTGACAACCCTAGTCAATTAAGATTGGAGTCGAGTGCATCTGGCCCGTGTGGGATTTGAACTTACAATCTCAGTGTTGACTGGCTGGTGTTACAGTAGTTCGACTTCTTAGACCACTCGGACACCGAGGCCCCAGGTGAATAATGAATAAAAGATCATGTGACTTGTGAGATTGTTAAGAAAAAGAAAGAACTTCCATGCTTCTTTTGAAATGTTCTAGTTGGTTGGTTGTTGTTTGCTTCACGTCCAGTGCATAATGTTCAACACTCCATTCATATCATAAAACTTTTGAAAATCAGCATTCAAATCTTATGTGAGAGCTATAAATCCTATCTTTCTATATAGAATCTTACTTTGTTATAGCATTGGCTGTCCAGGCTAATAAAGCTTTCTTTGCATTCTTTCGGAACTTATCTATAGCTGACAGCGGTGCCTGTTCGCCAGTGTCTTCATTTTGTGCAAATGTGTCTTCAATCTGTTAAAAAAAAAGTTAACTCACAACAGGTTGATAATCATTCAATGTTAAAAGAAAAAGTGCATTTCTTTTAATACAAACTTCAGCATCAAATGCTGAATGTTAAAGCCTAGCAATTTGAGATGTCAAAAATATTAAGCATTACCTGCATAATGAAAAGATTTGTTAGGTTTTAGCAGGTAATTGAAATACGTATTAATCTAATGTGTCATTATAATGCTTATTGTGTGAACTTTAGCTGCATGATAAGATATGAAATTTATTCTTTTAAAAGCATCCATTTTAAAAATGACATATCAAATAAGGGGGACGGGACGACATTGTAAGATAAAACACCTACCTGGAAATATAAGATAATGGTCCAAATTAATCCAAGGACTATGGACGGTTTTCCATCTGCAATGTCCGAAACATTGATGTTGACAAGTTTTATCTGAAATTCAAAAAAAAATCTTAAAATTAGTCAAAAAATCAATAGATAATCTCATTCTTATCAAATCCCAGACAGTTTTGTAAATACAATGACAGGTAAGAGCAGATTATCAAGTATGAAGATTTCGGCTAAATTCACCTAATCATCACGAAGTCACAAAAGACAGATCAATACAACAAAAGACCAAAAAATTAAAGAAAATAATACTTTGTAAAAAATTCAACTTTCAGTTCAAAGATTTGTAGAAAAAACATTGAATATGAGTACATGTATCAAAGATGTGCAGAATCTCATTCTAAAATATTCGCAATTAGGCAGGGGTTGTCCAATCAACATGTAAGCAGTCATTTAATTCATGGCTGCTTAGTATGTGAAAAATATTTCATTCAGATTCAAGACAATAATATGATAATTTCATATGACGAATACCCAGCTTTGTGCTATACTGACACCCTGAGTCAGATTTTTAACATGCTAGTGTATAAGGTTACTGTGGGCAGGAAGACAAGTCACCTCACTTGCCTGACACATAATTCTGACTCTGAGCAACCATGAAACATTGTGACTGAGACAGTATCCTTTCAAAAAAATGTTTTTAACTGCACTCGACCTAAATAACAACAGCATGTGCCCAAGCTGTTCAGGAACTTGAAAAGTAATTGACATGCCATCTCAGGAAAGATGACTCTGATCACTACTTCATTTAAACTAAACATTACCTTTTTCTGTTCCAAGAAGTTAAGTGCTGTAGATATGTTGCTGACATAATGTACTCTCTTTAATTTTCCTTTTTCCATTTTCTGCAATAAAAGTAATCAGCAGATTGTAATTATACAATTTGACAGACAAATTTTCTTCATCTTTGTTATCAGCAATTTCAACTCCTACTAAAAACTATAATATCTTCATTTAAACATAACAGTGAATGTGGGGGGGGGGGGGGTGCAGGTATAACTGGTTTAATTCCATCTGGTCCGAGACAGGGTTTCTAGACCATGTTTTGTTCATTTTCATGTGTCTTTCTTTGTGTGTTAATTTTTATCTATTTTGTCAGTCAGGTGTTGGTTTCTGAAGCGGTCTCTAACCATTTGTGTGTTAATATGCAAAGGGAGAGGTTTTTGTACAGGTTTTACTGTTTATTTTTACATGTGGAAATGCCTGTTCCAAGAAAATGACCCAAATTTTCTTTTTTTTCTAAATGGTCTTTTAAAATATTACATTTTTTTTTTATTGATCACTATTTTTTTCTTTTTAATTACAGATCATCCCCCCTTTTTCAAGATATTACAGAAGTTTCTCCCTTTCTTTAAAGATGACTGATTCAAATGTTTCTTATTTCATAATTGTGCCTAAAAAAATACAAATTAAGGTTAAATTCATGTGATCAGTTTCACAAGAAATCTTACGACTAAAGTTGATCATAAGTCATGAACAAGTTAGTATACTTACAATCAACTTCAGTCATAAGATTTTTTGTGAAACTGATCACTGTTTTATAACCTTCAAATTCCTTTAATTTTAACCTCTATATAACCTTAAATTTATTTCATTTACAGATTCATAAAATCTAATTCACCAAATGGATAAAAATAATAAAATAAGTATTTTAATTTCTCCAAAGGGCATGTTATATTGACTATATAAACTACCAAGTTTGAAGAAAAATGGGCGAGTGGTTAAATACCTACAAAAACATTTTATCACTGATTGAATACACAAATCTGAATCAAGCACCGGTAGGTGTCTTTCGATTTTATCTCAAAAGATGATAAAACTAAGACTAGAACAATATTTATCTCAAAACCCTTTAATTTTAAGGAATCTCTTCCATGTTATTAATGAAAACTTTAATACCGTGTTTAAATATTGACAATAACTGACACGGAATTTGACTGGACACAATTTGATGATATGTCTTGTCAGAGCATGTTGAAACTTTGGAGGGAATATACATGGCAGTCATATTAAATAAATATACGTAATATTTTAAAGTGGTGATACAAACATTAAAATTCTCGGTTAACCTTTTACTAAATACGTCTTTACAAATGATCAAATATGCCATTGTTCTCGTTCAATACTTGATTCGACTTCATAAAAATATTCAAACTGTGAATAGCTTTGTATGTTGCAACCAATAAAATTCTGAATGAAAAGTAATACTTCACCCTTGTACACTGAATTATAGTATACATAAAAAGATTGGTAAACAAACTTTTGTGATTCAAAAATATGTAAAAGAATGATGCAATTGATAAAGAGTTTATATAGATAGTATCTCTTTGTAAAAAATCATGATTAAATGATCCAGTATGCTCCAATATTAATCTATGACATTGCATTAAAATGCAGTTTGTTTGTGTATTAAAAAGTATTAAATTTCAGTATACAATTTTAAAACAAGACTTGTTGTCCTCTTAGAAAAATTACTTTAAAAGATTCAAGTAACAAACCTATTTACATAATTTCTCCATAAATATATATATAAGGCAAGAAAAGATTAAACTTTAGTACTTTCTTTTTTTAGACATGTTTTTGGACTTAAAATAGTTTCAGTTCAAGTGTAATCATATATTTATTAAATATACTTTCTTTTCCCATTTAACTTATACTATGCACATAATAAAAATTAACATATGTATGCAGTTTTTAATGAAATTCCTGACGGCCTTTATTCTTAACTAGATAAATTCTTTCCTCTCGGAATGAAAAGAATGCTATATTTGTAAATATGTCATAATTTATCATCTAACAAAGACCTAAAAACATAGTAAAATGAAAGTATTTAAACAGTTTGATTTTGTTTTTCAAAACTGTAAAATCTTACATTGAAGCTATCATAAAGTATCTTTTTTCAGTGAAACTGAGTAAAATATTGTTTTCTTGATTTTCCAATAAAAATGATGTTATTTCCAATCAAATGTTCAATGTATTCAATTGTATATTTACTTTCCAATACAATGATCAATTGATGTTTCACTAATGTCCAGTGGCAAATATATCATGCACATTAATTGAATGTGAACAAATCACACAATCAATCAATTAGGTGGTCAATTTGTCTTCAATAAGTTGGCAGAATGGTCGTCATAGTTCATCTACCACGATTAATAGTCTGTCAACACTGAGGTTGTAATTTTGAACCTTACTAGTGGAAAGGTGTGTTTGATTCCAAATGAACATGGAATGCCAGTATTCCACCAATAAGAACTCATATGAGGATTGGTGGGTAGTAGCCCCCTTAAGGAACTAAATATATGGTTAATGCATAGACTCTTTACAATTCCCACTCCTAATGGTGCCTAAGCGACCACGACCCCCCTTTTTTCAAAATCCTAGATCAAGTCAATTCTTTACAAGATATCCATTTTCTGTTTAGTAAGTTTCTTGCAAGTGGTAAAATTGCTTAAGCAGAAACAGAAACTGTTCAAATGCTGTTAGAAATCCAAAGCAGCATTATTCAGGTGACTTGCTCAATTTTTACCCCGGCTCACCTTGAGCAATTTTGATTTCAACAGCTTTTTAAAATTTTCAAAAAGCTAAACATTCCCTTCTTTCAAGAAAATTTCACAAATGACTGATCTTTGCTGTAAATAACATAAAAGAAAATAAGTGGCCATGGCACATGTAACTGTTTGGTCTAGCTAGTCCTGCATATAAACTTTACTTTCAAAAAGACATTACTCCCTATCAATATTCACTGCACTTCAGAACAACATTAAACATGAAAACCTGATTAACAAAGAGACCATAAAACAACAGAAAATCTATAAAGTAACCATTATTGTAACATTTCAGAAAAATGCCTACTTCCGATATTAAACTAAGAACAGTTTCATGTCCTCCAAATTAATTAATGAAATGATTGCCTAATCAATAGTCTGCTATTGTGAGAGAAAAAAAGTTGGCAAAAAATCATTAATATATTAATTTTGGTATGATATTAAAATCAGATTAATAATTTTCAACAATAAACTTGGAACAAAGTTATTCACACCAGCCTTGGTGTGATATTGTGAAACTTAAACCAAATATTGCTTGACTAAGTAAATTTTTCGAAAACCAAAACTGGTTAACTTTTTGATAAGTAATCTTCGACAATTTTATAAAACATTTAATTGCTTGCATTCCTTCTTTTCAATATATAAAATAATGACCATCTGACATGAATAGGGCCAGGTGTAATTGCTTTCCATACTAATTAGAATTCTTTTAAACAATTTACATATGATTTTCTTGTGTAAGCAAACCAGCTAAGTTAGAACATGTTTACACATTCTCAAAACAAATAAATGCAATGCATGGATAAAGTAACCTGATGCTAACCTATGGGTTAATGTTTTTGTATTTGCTTTGCTCTTTTACAAGGTTAATGACATTACTTTGAGTTGAAAATTGTGGTAACAGTTAAATTGCAACAACAATTTTCTGATAAGTGGTAGCACTGGTCGGACAGTAAAGTTTGTGGAATATGACATAATTATAGGAGGGAATGATTGTGCCAAGGCAAGATTGAAATGAATTAAAACTGCACAGTTTGGCTCTGTACTTCAAATCAAATGAATGTCTCTTCAAAGTTAAAACCCAAACTTATCATTACGTCACAAATGCAACTTTGTTTGAAGTATAAGTAAAATTAAAAGAACAAACACCTTGTGCAATGCAAGATTAAAGCAATGGAAAATCTGATAATTTTCCTTATTCAGCTGTCATGCACTGATATAAAAGGAAAAGAACATCCTTACATAACGGATGAAAGTATGACAAAGTATTTTTATAAGTACACTACTTCATGATCAAATGTTTGAATAGCTTTGAAATGTAGAATTTTTTTATTTTTTCTCCATAAGGAACATCCTGAGCACCAAAATTATCCTGTACCTACTTCCTTCAGTAACGTTTGAAGTATAACAAATTAAGTCCTATTGTGCTGCTTGACTAAACTTGCAGGGTCTTTTTTTTTTTTTTGTTGGCAGAAAGGATCTTGAGAGATGAGCTTTCCTTTTTTGAATGTGAGGCAAAAATTGTAATTGGGTATCAAATCAATGAGCAAAATGATATTGTGGGGTAATCTGTACGAATGGGGAATAAAACAATTTCATTGTTATTGTGATTGGTTCTATCATTCTTGCATTGTGGGTACCAGTAAAGACCATTATGGTTTTAAACACAGTACTCTCTCTCTCTCTGTATTTCTACATTCAGTGTGATATGTTTATGGGGTAAATGCACATTAAACCTTTAGTCTCCTTCAAAACTCTGAGGATACTGTATATAGAAGGAACAGAACTGTTCTTGCCGTTTTTCATCCTGACATTCTACTACCTACCAGTTTATCTCCTGACAGGACTTCCAATAAGGATAACAGGTATACGCCATCTTTAATGTCTTCAAATAGGTTCTCCACTTTCATATTTTTCTGCAAAGAATCAAATAAATACTTATACAGATTGTTTTTATCAATTTGTTTGACTTTTCAACTCAAACAAAAGATAAAAGAAACATTTATCCGACTTGAAAATTTGAAAAAGTACAGTGCTAAAAATAATTGTCTGACCAAAGGGACTTTCAGTGTTTACCGCATGAAAGTTCTTACGTAAAATGTTTTCAAATTAATTATAAATTGGACTATGATAGTCATTGTGAAACAAAGCAAAAAGCTTAATGGTAGTTAAATTGAAGCGTGAGTTAGTTTTAAAAAGGTCCAGTAATATCTAATTAAAGATGGCCTTTTTGTTAGAGGAAGTAAGAATGGTGAGTTTACAGCTATATCTCCTAACAATCATGGATTTCTGGATAGGCCACAACAATACATTTGACATCACTATATTTAAATGTTTATAACGTTAAATGTCCTTTACACTAAACTTCTATGAAGATGTCCATAAAAAGTCATGAAAATTCTACTTTCGTACTAATGGAAGTAATAAAATACAAATAAAGAACGAATTTCTTTTGATCAGTAACCACTACATTAAACCTGAATAGAAGAAATAAAAAAAAATCTCTCTTCAGGAAAAAGAGATAAATTCACAGATGTGAATCAATTCACTTAAAACATTGTTATGCATTTTTGTAAATCAAAATATACTGTGTGCACTTTGTTTACTTGATTTAATGCATGTTTTTGAATTTCTCGGAGTTCAGTATTTTTGTGATTTTACTTTTTACACATATCTTTTGCTTAATGAATTGGAAGTTATTGACAGTATATTATATAATGTTTATTCAGTTGATAAGATTGTAATCAAAAGGATATGATCAAGCAGTTTTATTCTCTGATTTTGAAATCCGATTAGCATTTTAGTTTCAATGTAATTTTTTTTTACATTCTATATGAATGTATACATTTTGTACTCTGTTTTAAACAGTTTTTTTTATATAAAACAGCATCCTATTTACTGTTGGACAAGAACATGTGCTTTCCAAATGTCAAAATATCAAAATCAAGTCATGTGACATGCATTCACTTTTGACTACTTTTTATCTTAATGATAAAAGCAAAGTTACTAGTAAACTACTTCAGGCAACAACTTAACAATGTTCCAAAGTTAAATTGCTTTGCCCTATGCACTACCCCTCCCCCTTTTCCTCTGTCAGAGACAGATATTTTTAAAGCAAGAAATGCAAGAAATTTATATAATAAAAACTGTGTTCAGGTGAACATCAGAGGACCACCTCCAGGTGCAGGAATTTCTCGCTGCGTTGAAGACCCATTGGTGGCCGTCGGTTGTTGTCTGCTCTTTGGTCGGGTTGTTGTCTCTTTGACATATTCCCCAATTCCGATCTCAATTCTATCAGACAATCTGCTGATGTCATTTTCAAAAGACTAATATGTCAGAATGTGAAGAACTCTCTACACCTGATAGCAAAAATATTGATAAAATGGGAAAATCATCCAGGTTCAGCAGGACAAAATACAATCTAGCAACAATACTTTCACCACAGTATCAAGTTTGATAATGATAGACCGTAGAATTCTGCTAAACTATATGCATAGCAAAGTGGCAAAATTATGATAGTTCACAGAAAGTTGCACAATTATATATACAGGTGGGCGACAAAACATGACAATCGAGCAACATTGCCATCACTTGTACAGGTGAGCTGTAAAACATTGACAACTTGGGACAACATGGCTTTCATCTGATTACAGACTCCTGATGTAACTATCCACCTATAGATATCACCTTCATCTATTAAATAGGAAGATAATATTACCTTAATGGTTGTTTATCGGATGTCAGTAGGATATGTTTATCCTGTTATTGTAAAGTAATGAGACAAGCCATTCAACAAGCTGTGACAAATTGCCCTCGAGTAGAAAATGTCACTAAGTTACATCTTGATAATAGAGATGGGACATCAAACAGAATAGGACAATCAGGATTAAAATCTTCTACAATCTTGTTTGCGATTATCCAGATTAGAGATTAAAAAGTTGAATAATGCACTCGAATTTTAATATTCTGTGTACAATATGACCTGTTAGAGATTACAATAATCTCTAAACTAATGATGCAAAATGCAATTGTTTATTTTGATGTTGAATGGAGATTTAATAGTAACACCTAAATATGCGTTCAAGTGACTTTCATAAGGGCTGGGGTTTAGGTAGAGGGGGTCAATAAAATTGCATGAAAGGTCTAGAAAGTGATCACTTTTACAAAACTATTTATAGGGGATGGGCAAGAGGTAGAGGGGGTTAAAATAATACAACAGATACAAAATACAATCCTTGGCAATTAAAGTATTTTTTTATAAAGCCTGGGGATGTGATTGTTTCAGACTTCGTCTTCAAATTACCTAATTTTTATCCTATTTTTCAGTAATTGCAGAACCAATTACTTGTTGTTTACTAATAAATTCATGAATTATTAACAAAATTTGATTGATTGATTTGTGTTTGCTTAAAGCCATTATTGCACAAAAAGGTAATTTTAGTTCATTTTTATTTTTCGGAGTTTAGTGTGACGTCCATTTTCACTGAACTAGTACACATTTTTGTTTAGGGGCCAGCTGAAGCCCGCCTCTGGGTGCAGGATTTTCTCGCTGTGTTGAAGACCCATTGGGGGCTCTTTGGTCGGGTTGTTGTCTCTTTGACACATTCCCCATTACAATTCTCAATTTTAATATCATAGTGAAACAGAATTTTATGATAATCCAACCTATTTCTGCAATCAAATGAAAGTTATGAAACCTAAGAAACTTAGTTACTTCAATATTCATGGCATGTTTGCTTAAACATTAAAGATCTATTACAAATCTTGATTGATCTGAGGATTATTTAATTCTTTTAAAAGATCACTTCAATATACAACTTGATTTCCTAAAAAGACAAAACATGCAACCATCACAATAACCCAATAAACCTGCCTGGGAAACATGAGCTACATTTGATCTTGATTTTTTTTTATGGCACTATTGATATTATTCGTGGGGGATATCATATTCTTATTGCCAAACCATCGATTAAATTTCAATATCATCTAATTACATCAAGACATTTTACCTGGCGAATTAATCCAAATTAAATGAAATTCTACCTTCACAATAAAGTGTAATTGATTTCTACAATTACTGATAAACAAAACTGTCAAGGATTTCAGACCAAAAATCAAATTAACGATATATCTACTGATTTTTTTTTTCTCTCTTGATGCAGATAAACGTACAACTCCACAGTGTTATGCCAATAATCTATAACATGTATAAAGAATTAAATGGAACAAATAATATTACAAGAGGCAATATTTGTATGACATGACAAACACAGAGACCTATTCTCAAGGGCCTATAGTTAAGCCATACTGTCAATTCTACATCGAAGTATAGTAGTATCATCAAATGGAATTGAATGAATTTGTTATTAATGCAAAATGTAAAGCAGTTCTTTGCACAATTATTTCTTTTGGGACATAAATTGCAATTGCGTCCTGTAGGCTTTCAATTGCTTCATGGGACCCTACATTTTATAATAAGGGTTTACAACTAATAAATGGTTAAATCAGATGTAGGTGTTTCCAGTTTTTTCTTGGTAGCAGCTATGTGCATGTGTGATCTTTATTTCTGGTACCTTCCAAACATCTTTTATAAAAGAGCTTACCTGTTTAAGGTAACTGTTCATCCAGTTTGTAAATGTCTTCTTTTGTACTCTCTCTTGTTCATCTATAAATAGAAAGATAAAAAAATATATAAAATATTTGCTTTTTCGATTTATTTCAATAAAGATGAAATAGCTAATTGATTCAGAGAGAGCATTTGGGGCAGTACATGTACTAAACCTTTAAAGGTATTCCTCTATTCCCTGGACTTAAGCTTGATACATTTAACATCTAAATATTTAGACAAAAAATGTGACAAAAAGCTTAAATATCTTCATTGTCTCTGAAATTGAAAATACTTCATGCATCCCACTTTATAAAATAATCATTCAGTAGCAAGCTCTGAAGAATGGCTTTGGTCTATTGCTGAACAGCTTTCTGGAGTTCTCATATTGATCAAAAGAATTTAACAAGGAATTATTTGAATCTGGAATAATTTTGAATTCTGGAAATTGATAAGAAATGTATGATGAAAACCAATCAAACAATGCACGCATGGCTTAGGTTCAGGCTACTTTCACTGATATTTCAGTAGGAACTATCTAACCCCCTTTAGCCATGCATGCATGGCTAATCCTCCTTAATTGGGTTACTTTTCATCATATATTTCTTATCCATTTCCAGGAGTCAAAATTATTTCCAATTCAAATAATTCCTTGTTTTTAGAATATCTGCATCAAAAATCTGTTATGCCAAATAGCATGGAAAGCAAATTTCAATAACTTGACCTATTCACACAAACAGATTTCATTATCAAGATGAGAGAAATATAGATTCCACCACTGCAACAAGTGCATTACGATATTTCTCCACTCGACAGTTGAATTTTCATATTTAAAGAACGAGGCTTGCCCAGCTTTTTAAATGATTAAAATTTAACTGTTGAGAGTGGAGAAATATCTCTCATTGTGTTCTTATATGTGACATCACCAGGCATCCCAGGTCGCCTTTTTTCATGACGTCACAATAGGAAATTCAGAAGAAACCAAGAAAATTTGACGTCATAATTAAATTTCCATCAACCGTTTGCCGAGAACAGTTATTCACAAGTGAGGAGAACAATTTTTTCACAATCGGTTGGGAAATGTGAAAATAGTGAAAAAATTAGAGAAAATAAATTCCTCTTTTTGGTAGAGAAAAATCATGTCTGTGGATAAGGTTGCAGACTCTGTTGGAGGTTGTTATGGGTTTGTCATGTTTCACAAGTCTACACCACAGCCAATCTTTCTATGTATATCTTGTTAATTTGTCCATAAAAAATGAGGTCTTTGTCTGTGTCATTCATTTCAAATTCATCAATATATGTACTTTCACTTTCTAGTTTATTAATGACAGATGTCTAGAGTACAGCTGCTTTGAATCCAACACCTACCAACAAAACTGTATCCTAGTTATAGATGATTAGAGTATTGATTTTCGTATATAGATGTACCCTCTACATACATAATTTATCACCTGTCATAGAATCTTTATTGTCAAATGAATATCTTACATCAAATGGTGTTGAAAATCTATAATCGAAACTTGTCTCCTATTGTAGTTTATTTTAATGGGCTTTAAAACTTTTCAGAAAACATCAAAATTTCATTAGGGATATGAAGGAAAGGGAAAAGAAACTTGTTCTTTCATGCAAATTGCATTGTGTTTTGACCTGATATGTATGTTTTATCTATAAATGTTTTTTTAATTTCAGATTTTCTTTCCCATAACTACAATGTTTGATTTCAACATGTTAGATTATATAACTCTAAAACATGGACCAAGAGAAAAACCAAATCAATGTTGAATTATCTATCATAGATATTATACTAAATTGTTCTGAGAAAACTAATGTAAATTCAATTTAAGATTTTAAATAAAAATATTCAAGGGGTTGTTTTTCCCTTGGACTAATATCCCACCTCTCCCTTCCCTCCTATTCTTTCTCTTGGCCCTTTCTCCTATTTACTGCCCATTTACCCCTGTATCCCAGTTTTGAGTTTGCTTTCCTCACTGTTTCTTTTCTCTTTTGTTTGTCCCTCCCTTCTTTCCCTTCCACCACCCCTTTTCTTTCTATTTTTTCCAAGTCCATGAAGTCTAACAAATCCTGTCAACTCCCTGAACAATAAAACTTTTAAACCACTGCACATAATTATATTTATATTTAATAATACTCAAGAGTTTTGCAAGGAGTAGTACTGAATATTTTTCCAGTTTATGTACACAAATGAGCGTATATATAAGAATTTTTAATATATTTATGTAGACATAACCGGAAAAATATGTTTACTAAAGGGATTTTGAAATACAATGAAATATGACTGGCTTATTGCCAAGTATAGTTAGCAAAATTTTGAACTGCTAACCTGCCAAAGACCACACCACAAAACCACTAAATGTATATACTACAGAATACAGATAAGCTGTATAATTATGCATATATCGATGATAATTTTTAGTACAGTTCCATAAATAGACAAAATCTTAAAACAGATATTAGATGATTTATGCATGTCACCAAACTTGTTTCAAGTCCAAATTTGATATAGTAGGGGAACTCACAAGAGGTCTATATGTCACCCCAATATCATACTTCAAAATCAAATAATATACGATACTCAAAAATTGGTCCTTTTCCAGAATTTGTAAAAAAAACAAAACATTTCCCCTTTTCTATATACTAATAGAGTTTCGTTCAACTAAACAGCCCTTTACATATACATGCAATTCACTCAGTACTTGAAAAAAAACTGTCCGTGGCCTAAAAAGAAAGGTTTAAACAGTAAAAATAGGCAATAATTAGTCCTTTCTCCTCATTATTCATATCACTTAAGTTCCTATAGCTAACATTAGAGGAATTGCTAAATTTCTCTTTCTTCGCCATTTTTATAGGAAGTTATGGAGGTAAATAAGACCATCATTCATAAGTTAACGTTTAACTACAAAAGGCCAAAAGAAAATTTCAACCCAAGTGAAAATACAAATTTCATCTTTTCACACTACACTCCACCCTTCTTTCAATCCAATCAAACCATAAGATTTATTTCTGCAAAACTCATCAACATTAATAATAGGTTACAACAGTGTTACATAGCAACACTTTTTAAATACCTTCTGTAAGAAGAGGTCAAAAATACTAATTAAATTTACAGCTTTCTTGTAGTTTCAAAACTTTAAATAATTCAACAACATGCTAAATCCGCTATAAGCCATACTTTAAGCAAAAGTTAAACAAACATCAAAATTTTCAAACAGAGTTTAAGCAAACATCATTTATGCGTGACATAATTGTTGATCTAAGACTATGATATAAAATTTTATTAGAAGTTTTAGTAATTATATTTATCAGGGATCAAAGTAAAACTTGTTTGTACCTGAAAAAGTACTCTCGTTTACTTTGTAAATAATGATCATTAACAGTAGGAGTGAAAATTGTTGGTACAGAAAACACTGTTTCCTTTGAATATAAACTGACATGTAAAAGTCAAGGATATTGGCTTTTTGTCAAAGGTTTGCCCATTAAAATCATCTCTATGCCAGAAAATAAAGAAATAAGACAGACAATGCAAAAATATGAAATGAGATTTGTTTACTTTCACTTATTATGGAAACTGTCCTTTGATATGAAACTGAGGTCCAAAATATCTTTAAGTCTATTTTCACTTTACATGGAAAGTATCTAAAAGTGTTAAGATGCATTTTGTATTCATTTATAAGATGCTTTGGAAAGATATCTAAATGCCTTAGATAGTTTTTTAAAGCTTTCAGATACCCAGCACCCTAATTGTATTTTTTCCAACTCTATCATGATTATCATATCTTATTCAAACAACTTTATTGATAAACGACAATTATCAAAAAATTCATTCACATTCTGACGACTGCGATAATCATTGCATAAATCTACTTTCACTTTACACCTGCAAATTAAACTTTATCTTTATCTTTACTTTCACTTTATCTTACCTTTGAGAGAAAGCACTCTCTCTGCAAACACTCTGGTTTGATAAGTCAAATTCATATTAGATTGGGCCATCTTTTTTTTTCTGTACCAGTGTATATAGCCCCTCCACGAAACAATTTTTTTCCTCAAAACATATCCTCAGTATAAATATCCATCAACGAAAAAATAAAAGTCATTAACAATATTAACACTTTTTTCCAGTCCCTGTGGATACATTTAGGAGTCCCCCTCTCCTAGATGTTCCACGGGTCTGGGCTAGTAGTGCTTAATCCTCACATACACACACACCCTGACAGTGCTGACGACACTGACTCAGGTAAAAATGTCCAAGTGATCAATATTCCGGAGAGGATTTACCCGCCATTCAAACATCTGGAACCATTGACAATAGACAATGCTATAGGTAAATATGTTATCCAAGTTCTGATTGGTTCAATGAACATAATGTTTTCTAAATGTTTAAACATCTACCCCACTTTCATATCTAATCCCTCAGGTGAATCTCCGAAAGCTACTTATCTGTTTTCAGACCAAATATTTCACCTTTAAATTCATAGACACAAAATCTCCAAGTTTTGCACATTAACTTTAACAAAATTGGCACAATCTCTTTTCAGTGATGCAATTGTAAGTCATTTAACTGTCACTATGATAATAAGATTTACTTATCCATTGAAAATTACGATTTCATAAAAGATCTCTTCTGTTGCTAGTGTATAATTTTACTTCATCAATGGAATGTCTTACTGATAAATTCAATCACTCGTAACATTTCAATAGATTTCTCGTAAGAAATTCACACTCCAATAATTAGAACTTCACATTTAATTTAACCTCAATTAAAATACCATTATCAATGTCATTAGCATAGTTATTGAATATAGAGTGTCTAAAATATTCTAAGTATATGTATAATGTAAATTAGAAATATACGTCTTGTATATCTTTCATTGATAGAAAAATCAATGATTTTGCAGAAGCGAGAGTTGTTGTTTGCAGCAGGAAGGGTGTGTAGGCTGTTCTTAAAACAGTAACAGTTTATATATAATGACTGAACCAGATCGTAAATCCTTGTGAGCCAAAGGACAAATTATTTTGGGTCATTTATCTATGAAACACAGATTTGTAAGAAAATCTATCTATTGAATAAATTAATTCCTATCCAGGATGCATGCTAGGTAGATGTTTTATGAAACCTGTCAATATGAAACAGATTCCTGCTGAATTTATGATTAATATTCCCTATAAATATCCTATTTCAAAACTAATGTAATATTCTTTGTGCTTGAAATAAATTCAATATTCATATTTTTTATCAATACATAGGTAGACATTTTTCCCACCAAAAAGTTATCTGGGTTCAAAATTTAGTTCAGACTTTATTTGAAGTCCATTAATATAGCATAAAAACAGTCCAACCTTGTGTAGAATACATTATGAACAAAAGTACATATTTGTTTGAAGTATACAATTGAGACAATTACACAACATCAAAGAAATGATTTTAACAACAAAACAGGAACATTTGTTAACAGTGTATAGACAAATTTTAATTGTTAAACTTTGGGTGAAATATTTTTAGAAAAAGAGTTCTATTATAATTCAATATTTTCAGCAGACTTCCTTGTAAAACATTAAAACAACAAAATATTTTAATATTATAAAAAAAATTTTGTGGTAAACACAAAGAAGACTAAAAGTGAATCTGCATTGAACAAAAAGGATATATATCTTAAATGAACGTTTAACACAAATATAAGGATTCAGAGCTATTTGATTAAAAAAATACAACATAGATTGAATATCTTTCATCAAAAGGATCATTTTTAGCATATCCTTTTGTTTGGACGAATTTTTCAATTTCTAGTAAATGAACATAAATGTTCTGTCTTGGAATTCCTATTCCTTGTAATTTTCAAATCACATAAAAATCCATTAAAATTGCTGGAACCCCCCTCCCCGTCTGCAGGTGAACTCCTCATAAACCCTGCATTTAAAAGATTCCTGCCAACTAGAAGATGTATGTCCAGGGTTTGGCAGTTTGAAAGTTCTAAAAAATATCTCTTTCCTTTCTTGATGAATATGAGTTTTTTTTGTACTCTTGTGCCGTTTTTCTTATAAATTACACAATGAAAGTAAAGAAAGATAACTCTTGACAATAATGGCTATCAAACTCTTAGTTAGGTTAGCCAGTGTTCATTCTTCACTTAATTCATGGGCTTTATACGGCTGTGAAACTCAATATTCATTTAATCATTACTCATTTACTGTACAGAACTATTTAAAATTGCATTCATAATTTTGGTTCTTTTGTTAAGTTGGATCACGGTTTTCTGGAATTGAGATCAAGTATGCAAATACTGGACATAAAACCTATAAATATACTCCTAAACCAGCTTTTTTCATCTATAAACAGGAGTCTAAGAAGAAAAAATTTTGTTTGTATTTAGAATTTATAACTTTTTAATGATATACAATGTATATCTAAATTTAGCTTTTTTTTCTACTAAATTTTAGATTTTTTTTTTTTTAAAACCTAGTCTTCCTTTTTAACTTGAAAATTATAAATTTGTTAAATAGTAATGTAATAATTCTGAAAAAGAGGGGATAAAGCAGATTTTAATTTAAACATGTTAGGAGCCCTGAAGTTCACAGAACAACAAATTAAGTATTTGTGACCTAAAATATATTTCAATACAATTGTGCATCATTGTTTTAATTCTTTTTATTAACAAGCAAAAAAAAAATGAAAAATAATACAATCTGACCTCCGAAATATCAGATTTGGCAATGCAATATGGGAGATTATGAGATTAATCATTATTCGTAAAGACCTACTAATTTTCATGGATATCTCAGGTATGGGTGATGCACAAATAACAAAATACAAATTTCTGTACACGATATTTTTTCAGACCAAAAAAATCACAAATCCATGAAAAAACAACCCATTTTTTTCTCAATCCACAAAAAACTGGTACTCATGAAAATAAATGAATTCATGGTACATTAAATAGAGAACCAATCAAATGAGAATATAGTTGCATACAAAGTATCACTAACCATATTTTATTGTTCTTTGTCCTTTCATTAACTGGACATTTGGGCATTCCACTACAGACAGACAGTGAGAAAATCAATATAGATTTCTATATAATTAGCTAGAGTCCAGGGTATTATAATTGTGTTCCATTGGATGGATTACAAGTGGAATATTAATTACTTCTGTAGTTTGAAACATCACAGATCCCTTTATTATCCCCTCCATAACTTAATATGGCATCTTTCATTGATACACATCACTGGAGGTCGCAAGAGGGGAGGGGTAGGAAAATTGTGAAGTTGAGTTCCCTGATGAGACAGAATAATTTTTAGGTTTTAATGGTTTATATCTAATTGCATTAAATATGGCCCTTAAACAAACCTTTGGCATGAATCCCTCCCACTGTCCCTCCCAAATATATATAAAAAAAACATCACACAATATACACCCTCTTTACCCTCATCAATACTAATGCAGCTCTGTACTAAGTCCCTAGGTATTACCATATAAAAGCAATGAAAACAAGACAAGAATATGGTGATTTAACATATTTAATTACTGATTGAGGCTTGATAAATTTGGCTACAGTGACAAGTGAATTTACAAAAATGCAAACATATTTGACTTAATCTAATCATAGATTCCATAACTGAACTTGGAAAAAACATCAATTCAGTAGGTGAACTGTCTGAGGGCAAATGTTCTCCTTTTTCAACATTATTTTACCACTATACCATGATCAAAATGAAAGCCTATCCTTGAATTGACTGCCTGAATTTCAGGCTCTTTATGTGGTACCGGTATTTATTGTATAGTTTGTTTCATCGTGAATTTGAATGTAATATTTGCCACTGGACATTCAACAAACATCAAATCAACCAATCAATCAAAAAACAATCACTGCATTATTTTTTTTGAAGAGTTCTTTTCAGAGTAGTGAATTTCTCTTATGAAGATCTCTTATTCCATCACTTTTTATCTGTGCTTTTAAACTCCAGCATTGCTGCAAGTCTTCCATAGTGAATTTTGTCCCCCCCCCCCCTTTTTTTTCCCTTTATGAAACTCAATTCCTGAGACAATTCTCCATTATTTTTTAACTTGAAACTGATCTTATAAAATTAATTTAGATTTAAATGAAAGACTTAAATGCCTCAAACAAATAGAAAACCAAGTGTCCTGTTATTTCTTGAATTTCTCGAATCAATTTACTATGCTAACAAAAATATAGCTCATTTAATTAAACATTTTAATTTAGATTTGTTATCCAAGGAAAAATCAGGTTTGTTACATGTTTACTTTGTGTCAGACTGAAATAATATTTACAAGTAGCCGTTTTATTAGAAAGAAGAGCTATAATCAACTTCTTTGTTTACTTTTATTGAAGTAAATCTTAAAAGGTTGGATATAAGTATGTGTTTGTTCAGGAATAAAGTGATTTATAATTTTTTAACTGCCTTTTTGAAATATGTCGGAGGGGAAGCTTCAACCTGTCCTCTATAAAATATCTATTATCTTACATACTCTTTACTTAAAATCATGATCAAAAGAGTTTGAAACTAACATTCTGTCCATGTAAGTCAATGCAATCTTCACTACTGTCAATTTACTAATTTTATGAGTACCAATTTCTGTAGAAATAGAAATGTATTTTTAGGGATACTGGATTTCATGATTTTGACAGATTCAGCACGGAAGCCTATGGGAAATTCACATTTTAGCGAACACATGGACTCGGGATTTATTTAGATACACATATAATCCCCCAAAATCAGTATAATAATACTGAATTGCAAGTAATGTAACTATTCTCTAAAATCATGTCTTTTATGAAAAATGATAAATCGTCACATCACAACAATAGACAACAGAAATCTTGTATTGCTATTCACAAGTTTAGGTACTTGCAGTGTGATGTTTGGGTACTTGCAGTGTGATACAGCATTAAGAATATATAAATATCTTGTATTGCTATTCACAAGTTAAGGTACTTGCAGTGTGATGTTTGGGTACTTGCAGTGTGATGCAGCATTAAGAATATATAAATATCTTGTATTGCTATTCACAAGTTAAGGTACTTGCAGTGTGATGTTTGAGTACTTGCAGTGTGATGCAGCATTAAGAATATATAAATGGTGACCTCTTGATGTTTTCTTTCAATGCTAAACTGATGGGTTACAATCTTTCTGAGATGTACTCCTAATGACCTTTTATTCATATCAGAAAATGGTGAGCGGTAGCATTAGAAGATAGCATCAACTATGGTAAATTCAGAAATTATTGCTTTAAGGTTTTAATTAATGTGAATAATTTGACTGGGGGGTGAGTATCACAATAATCTGATATCTGATACATATATTAACTGTATGCAGATTTTCCTAAAATCACAATAATTTATCTCATCTACTGTTGACTCAGTTCCCCATTTTGATCCTTACAGGGGTAATTATCTTCAAGATCATTAAAAGCCAATAAAATTTCAATTTGGTTACATATAACTGCTTTTGTTAAGGAAATTAACGGTACATTTATCAGAACAGAAATCAAAACGAATTTCGCAGTAATCACTTTTTTGTTTCATTCACTACATTTAGATCTGATGTAAAGACTATAGTGATTTATTGGGGAAATAAAG